CCACCTCGACCTAAATCCCTGCTGCCTGTTCTGTATGTGAACCGGGAGCGTTGCCCACAGCACACGCTCTGTATAATGTTCACGGTGGACTGATTTGTTAGCAATATGTGAAATTCAGTGTTCTCACCAGTGTAAGCATAAGATAGGTCAGTCTTTAGCCAGTAGTGTAACAGCACTTCTTGAAATTATGTGGGCTTTACCAGTTTCCACAAAAAACTTGGTGAAAGCCCATTTTCATTCACTGCGGAACATTTTGGGATGAGCTTGAATTTTTATTAGGTTATTGTGGGTAGGTATGACTCATTACTGAGCTATAAGAGCCAAATTCATTCTCGGTTTGGCCAGGACTCTTCCAAGTTCTCAAGCTTGTTTATGAATTCCTCACAAAACCTTAAGAACAGTTGCCAGTTAACATTTTCTTACGATTAAAAAGACCTAATAAAATGTTACAGTAGTTCTTCAGGTAATAGCAGTACAAAGTTTTAGGGGAGGTGAGACATATAAGATATTACATAATAATGTTTTAATGCTAGTTTGTTTTTTATGTGTGCAGGTAAGCTAATTCTCCAGTGGCACACCCAGCAGTGCTCAGGGCTTCCTTCTGGCTCTGTGTTCAAGGATCACTCCGGGCAGGCTTGGGGACCATTCGAGGTCTGGGGGTTGAAGATCCCCCTTCACCCATGGAAGGCAAATGCTCTCTCCGCTCTGCTGTTGCTCTGGCCCCAGGACACTTAATTTTTAAAAGACAACACTACATCCACTCCAGACCCAGGTTACCTTGGCGATGGAGATTGCTGTGCCATCTGATGGTACAGAAATAACTTTTGGGCATAGCTTTCATTAAATTCTTACTCACTTGCAAATTTTTTTAAAATTCTGTCTGAAAATCAGGACAATTCAGAGGCTATGCAATAAAAATTTATGACCTATAGGAACTGGAGAGATAGTACATCACCAGCCCTAGTGTGAGCCGCCTTTAAGAACCGCTAGGGATGATCCCTGAACACCACAGGTACTGCCTTGAGAGAAAAAAGAAAAGTTTAGCATATAAAATCACTTCAAATTAAGAGAGATAGCCTTATTCTTATATTTGATCTTTGTAAAAGACTTATTTTTCAAATTTTACAGAAGGCAGTGAAAAAAAGTCATGGTATTACATGACAATCCAGACCTTTTTACTGTGTCTGAAAGCACCAAAATGTTTGTAATCAAATACAAAAGATACCTGACTAACAGCTAAGTCACAAAACATATCGATGCTCTCCAGACTGGCAAAGAAAATGCGTTAAGTTCTAGTGATGGTGTCCATTGGCTTGAAGGAGTCTACTGAATTTTCTCTGTGCACAGGAAATGCTTTTGCCTCCCAAGTAGTCTAATGGGTTTAAAGCAGATTATGTATACTTGACAGGCAGCTACTACTAGGTATGTTTAGATAAAGATGCGAAAACCGTGGTCTGGGGAGATGTGCCCAAAGGCACTTGCACACGTCCTTCACCAGTTTGCATCCCTTGAGCAACTGCCAGGAGTAATTCTGAGTGCAGAGCCAGGAGTAACCCCTGAGCACTGCTGGGTATGATCGCCAAACCAAAAACAAAACAACAACAACAAAAAATGCAGAAGCCTAGGGCTGGAGCGATATGACAGTGGGTAGGGCACTTGCTTTGCATGCAGCAAACCTGGCTTTGATCCCCAGCACCCTCTATGGTCACCTGAGCACAGCCAGATGTCGATTACTTCCCCACAAAAACAATTTGTCTACTCTCCTTGTTACTATCCTTCAAATAGTAAAGGTAAAGGTAAAGGCCCTCCCGTTGATCGTCGATTTGCTCAAGCGGGCCCAGTAACGTCTCCATTGGAGACTTTGTTGTTACTGTGTCTGGCATATCGAATACTCTCGGTAGCTTGCCGGGCTCTCCGAGAGGGGCGGAGGAATCGAACTCGGGTCGGCCATGTTGGCCGCTTGTAAGGCGAACTCCCTACCCGCTGTGCTATCACTCCAGCCCAAAGTAAAGTAAAGGCCCTCCCGTTGATCATCGATTTGCTCGAGCGGGCCCAGTAACGTCTCCATTGGAGACTTTGTTGTTACTGTGTCTGGCATATCAAATACTCTCGGTAGCTTGCCGGGCTCTCCGAGAGGGGCAGAGGAATCAAACTTGGGTCGGCCATGTTGGCCGCTTGTAAGGCAAACGTCCTACCCCTGTGCTATCGCTCCAGCCTTCAAATAGTGAAAGTACCAAAGTACTTTCCTGGCATTTGCATGGTTACAGGCCTCCTCCAGTGTGACTTGGCACTCACCAATTGCTCTAGCTTCACTTTGCCATTGTCCCACCCAACTGGCCATTTTGCGGTTCAAACCATCATACTCTAGGGGACCTGAGAGATAATACTGCAGGTAAGGTGCTTAGAATATATTAATACTCTGACAGTTGAATTTTTTGCATCTCCTTTTTCAAAGTAGTATACATACCATAAAATTTTTAAAATTTTTTTTTGCAGGGGGAGGAGTGGTCTTTTGGGCTCACACCCAGCGATGTTCAGGGGTTATTCCTGGCTCTGCATTCAGGAATTACTCCTGGCAGTACTTGGGGGGATTATATGGGATACTGGGGATTGAACCTGGGTCAGTGCATGCAAGGCAAACACCCTACCCATTGTACTACCGCTCTGGCCCCCCCATAAATATTTGTTTTGGGGCCACACCTGGTGGTGCTCATGCATTACACCTGGCTCTCTGCTCATCAGAATTACTCCAGATGAGCTAGTGGAGACCATGAGTTGCTGGGGCTCAATCCCGGATCTGCTGCGAGGCAAGCGCCCTACACTTTATCTCTCCAGCCTCTCTTAGTAAGTCAAGAGATTTCACTTTAGAATTCTGTAATACTACTACTAGGGATTGGGGGAGGTGGGGGGTGGGAGGGCTGGGTTTGGGATCAAAGGACTGAAGCACAGTATTTGCATGGGGAGGTCTGGATATAAATCCTGGCACCGCATGGTCCCCTGAGCACCACAGGGAACTGTCCCCAAGCACTGAGCCAAGCTGGGAATAGCCCCTGACTGTGCTGGGTGTGGCCCAAAAGTGAACAACAATAACAAAAAGGGCTTGAGCTAGTGGAAATATGTTGCTTGTTTTGGGACAGAATGACTCAGTATTACAAAGTCATTTTTCTCAACAGAAATTTAAGAAAATCCCAATTAAACAAATTGTAAACTAGGGTCACGTTGGGCCTTACACAAGTGAGACCCTAGATTTAGTTACGGGTGTAGCAAAAAGAAAAAGATTTCTAATTAAAACCAAAAATAAAACTTTTTGTCGGGGGTTGTGATCCCTGGGCCTCCCGCATGCAAAGGATGTGCTGCTTTCTGTTCACTGAGCTCTCTGCCAGCCATGCTTTCTGGAGCAAGATGTTTGATTAAAATACAAGTGAAAAGAAAACATTCAGAACGGGGATGGGGAGAGGCAGACAAAATCTGCAAAGGGGTCCTGGAATTCTTACTACCAAACCTTGAATCTGACACAGTGCAAAATATGGTGTTGATACATTTAGAGACAACAGGTGAGCCAAACAGAGGGGGAAAAGTTTAGAAATAGACCCAAATGCATACAGAAACTTGTTTTTGATGTAGGAATATCTCATCACTAGGGCAAAGGTAGACCTCAGAAAAAAATCTGAAATTTGGGTGGTCATTTTGAAAAAGAAAAAGGTATTTCCTCACTTAATCATACACAAAAAACTCCAAATGGTTGAGCCTATAAATTTAAAGCCATAAAATCAGTTTTAAGAAGGAAACATGGGACACTGGTTCATTCCTCTTCTTCGGCCTCCACGTAGGCAAGGATTTTTAATATATGGAGGGGCTGGGGGTTGGGCCCACACCCAACCAGGGGTCACTCCTGGTGGTGCTCAGGAGACACCAGATGCAGTGCCCAGGACTGAAGTCAGCTGTGTGTGAAACAAGTGCCTTATACGCTGTACTGTTTCGACCAGACAATTCTTTTGTTTTGGGCCCAAACTCAACAGTGCTCAGAAATCACTCGTGGTGGGATTGGAGGATCAGATGGAATGCCAGAGATCGAACCCAGGTTGCCCATGGCAGGGCAATCACCCTACCCACTGTACTATCAGTTTGACCCGATAAGTGAGAATCTATTGAGAATAAGCTCAGGGCCATGAGGAAAAGGTGCACAGGAGAGTGTGCTGATCTTGGCAGACACCCTTCTGTAGTTTGCACTTTCAGTGCAGCTAATGGTTCAGCACTCAAAGAAAACAAGGCTGTCGGGAGATCACAATGGAAAACAAGCCAATAAAGCTTGCAGATGGTTAACATAACTACCGAAATATGAATGAGAGAAGAATAACCTGCCTAATCTAGGGAAACAGCATTTTAAATATTTGTCTTATGGCTAAAGACAAAATGATTCTCGCAAATACCATGCCTATAGTTAGCAGATGTTTTTCCAGCAGTCTGGGTTAAGCAACTCCGAAACAATGTGTTCTAGGATAGAGCAATCAATATTGTAGGTGGAAGAGCCAAATTTGTCCATGTCAGACAGGGAGTTTATAAACATAAACAAGAAATAGGTGGGGGGCCGCCATGGACCCTGTGGTGCTGGGTTGTAATTGGAGGTGTCAGTATGAATTCGTGCACTTTTATAAACAAGATGTAAAATGGACCAGTCTGTGTGTATCTGTCATAATGCAGGTATTTTCTAGCTTTGCTGCTGGGAGTCTTGAAACAATGGAATCCATGTGACAGCGCACACCTAGCCCCGAGAAGTCGGTTCCTCTGTGCCATCTCCAGTGAAAGGAACCAGGGCTCATGGCGCAACTGGCAGATGCCAGAGCTGGAGCGAGAGAAACACAAGTAAACATAGAACACTCTGAATTTTTTCAGATATATTTATTCTTTCAATGTCTAATTCTAACTCATCTCATATTTCCAAACCAATAATAATAGCAATAGCAGAACAAGCTTAAAGCTCCAGAAAGTAAGGAAGAAATTTAAAATGTTGGGGATTTGCCAGAGGCCCCAAACTAAAGAGGGAGGGTCCCAGTGGCCAGATCCCAAGCAATAGGATAGCAAAATCAATGGATTAGGAGTTTCCAGAGTGGGCAATGCTGCCCCCTGGGGGCGCTAGGATGCTGGTGCGGTGGTAGCTGAGAGCAGTGAGGCCACTTCCTACTTGTTCACTGAAAGAAGGTAGACTTCCAGGGGGACACTGAACAACTCTTTTTCTGAAAAAGGAACAGTAGGTCAGATAAGTGTGGGGCTCTCTGGATTACAACCTACAGAACAGAATAGTCAAGAGTGCAGTGTTTCAGGTAACAATAGGAGACAAGGGGAAACATTTCCTCAAATAAGAAGAGCAATTAAGGGTTAGTAATCAAGAATTTCAGGGCCAGAGTGATAGTACAGTGGGTAGGGTGCTTGCCTTGCAATGCCCAGAATCCCATATGGTTCCCTGTGCGAGCCAGGAGTAAGTACTGAACACTGCTGAGTGTGACACCCACCTCCGGGGGGAAAAAATCTAATTTCCTTGAATAAAAATAAAAGAGGGTCAGAGAGGCTGTACAGGTTCTTGCCTTATAAGGCGCTTGCCTTGGATATGGCTGACCCCAGTAGTATCCCCAGAACTGTATGCAATTCCCCGAAAGCCACCAAGAGTGATCCCTGAGCACAGAGCCAGAAATAAGATTGAAATTTTCACTTTATAGGCAAGCTAGTAATTAATAAGCGAAAATTGCCTTAGTGCTGGGCACATAAAAACTATTCAGGGGCTGGAGAGATAGCATAGCGGGTAGGGCGTTTGCCTTGTACACGGCCGACCCAGGTTCGATTCCCAGCATCCCATATGGTCCCCTGAGCACCGCCAGGGGTGATTCCTGAGCGCAGAGCCAGGAGTAACCCCTGTGTATCGCCAGGTGTGATCCAAAAAGCAAAAAAAAAAAACAAAAAAAAAACCTATTCAATAAACAGACATAAAACAACAATAAGTGGAGTATACTAATTGTACTGCCCAAAAGCCTTCAATACAACATGAAATAGCACTGTAGCACTGTCATCCCGTTGTTCGTCGATTTGCTCGAGCGGGTACCAGTAACGTCTCCATTGTGAGACTTGTTACTGTTTTTGGCATATCGAATACTTCATGGGTAGCTTGCCAGGCTCTGCCGTGCGGGCGAGATACTCTCGGTAACTTGCCGGGCTCTCCAAGGGGGCGGAGGAATCGAACCCGGCTCGGTCGGGTTTGCTGCGCTCAAGGCAAATGCCCTACCGCTGTGCTATCGCTCCAGCCCCTATTTCTCCTTTTAAATGTCTGATTCTAACCAAGCAGCTTATGTTTCCACACCAGAAATAACAATAAGAGCAAAACAAACATGAATAAAACATAAACATGTAAAATTGGGACTATTATTATTTCAGATACTTCAGTTTCTAATGCCGTGTTTATTCTTCAATAAATAAGGTTTGACACAACAGCATTCTGTGAAGCTTATCATCCACTTAGTAAAACACTAGCAACAGAATACTGCAACTGGGATTCTACTTCCAAGGAATTTGTAATGCTTCTTGGGGTAAGAGTCACATTTGTACTCCTACAGATAAAGAATTTTCTAGCCCCCCCCAAAAAATTAAGTAAACTTATTTCAGAAGTATTTGACAGTAAATATTCAAAAGTAAATATATACTAAGAAAATATATGTACTCTTAAGAACAAGTGGCCCGCTGTGCAATTTAATTATTTTGATTAGACATGCTGTGAATCAGTCTTTTCTCCCTCTAAGACTGGCTTTACCGCTGCTCTATAAAAAGACCAAAAAGGTTAAATCCCAGGATAACGGTGGTGCTGGTGCAGGCCCAGGGAGGTAATGGGGCACCGGGGGACAGGTGGGGACCGTTGGCTATGCACGGCCTGGCCTGGGCCTTCCCTTTACCTTGCAGGGACTCTGAGGCCCCAGCTCATTCGCGCCTCCCCGTACCTCGCTGCCGTCTTCATCTGCTCGCTCCCTCTCAGGGCTGCCGCCATGTTCCGATGTAGAGAGATTTGTGAGTGTCTCACTAGGATAAAGCCTTTTGCGTGACATTTGTCTTGAGATATTCTCAGGGGCTTTTCCGCTGACATTTTTGCCAGCCTTTGAATTTGAGCATATCAGATCTGACCTGGGATATTAATAGAGATTAAATATCTATGCCTGCTTTTAAATATGTAGACATTTTATTTAACTAAAGAAGCAATGTAGGATGGCAGTGACAAGACTGGCTGAAGAAATGAAATATTAAATTATTGAAATTTAAGATTTCTGAGGCTGGAGGGCTAGTACAGCAAGTAGAGCGTTTGCCTTATATGCAGCTGACTCCAGTTCCATCCTGGCACCACATCTGGTCCTGCCAGAAGTGATCTCTGAGTACAGAGCCACGAGTAAGCCCTATTACCTAAACTATAATTTAAATAAACGACTTATTGTGGCTGGAGCAATTGTACAGTGGGTAAGGTGTTTGCTTTGCACGCACCTGACCCGGGTTCAATCCCTTGCATCCCATATGGTCCCCTAAGCAATGTCAGGAGTAATTCCTGAGTGCAGAGCCAGGAGTAATTCCTGAGCATCGCCAGGTGTGACCCCAAAAGCCAATGAATAAATAGTTAAAAATCCTCTGGACAGGGACCAGAGCAATAATACAGCAGGGAAAGCCCTGGCCTTACACAAGGTCAACCCGCGTTTAATCTCTCGCACAACGTATGTTCTCCTGAGCCCTGCCAGGAGTGATCCCTGAGCACAGAGCCAGGAGTGGTCCCAAAACAAAACAAACCAACCAAAAAAACTGGAGAGATTCAGATGCCATATGAGTTGTGGTATCTTGTGATATGGTGACTGGTCAAATTAGAAAAACAGCAAATGAATTTTATATACCTGAATGAAAGAAATGTATGCAGTCATTAAAAATTAATTTGGACTACTGTGCTGTTTGCTCCGTGGCCCGAGGTATGCTCTGTGTGCAGGAGCCCTGCACTCAACCTTAAGACCGCCTTATGCCGAGCCTCGCTGGGTGGTCCAGACACCCCCCTCAAAAATCACATTCCCAAGTCATAACCAGTGATATGGAATGTGTTCACAATATAATTTTTATAGGGGAAAAACAGGATACGAGGGCCAGAGCGACAGTACAGTGGGCAGGGCGTTTGCCCTGCACGTGGCTGACCCGGTTTTGATCCCCGGCATCCCATATGGTCCCCCGAGCACCGCCAGGAGTAATGCCTGAGTGCAGAGCCAGGAGGAACCCCTGAGCATCACCGGGTGTGACCCAAAAAAGAAAAAAGAAAAAACAAACATCTGAAGGAAAACAAAGTTAGCCAAATAGTAGTACAATCACCATTTTCATTTTCTTCTTTGTACTCTTCTGTTCTTCAGTTGCCCATATAACTCTTACTTTCCTTGTGAAGTACTCCCTTGCTACCAAAGCTATTAAGACCGAAGGGAAAAAAGGACTCAAAAACAAATTCACAAATCCTGGGATGTGGCAGGGCTCAAAATGGTAGAGCACGTGCGTGGCAAGTGTGGGGGCCTAATGTAATGGTCCCTGAGCACCTTTGGGTGAAGCACCGGTGGCCCCTGCAGCGCGAGGCCAGCCACCCTAAAGCAGCAGCTTAATCACAGAAGTGTGAGGCAGCGTGAGGAAGGGTCTCCCAGCTGCAGTACCCATCGCCACCCACACCACAACACAGAGGGTGTCTGCTTCACAAACTGTTGGCCTGGGTTCGATTCCCAGCACCACATCTGGTTCCTGGAACCCCACCATTAGTGATGCCTCCGCACAGAGCCAGGAATAAGCCCGGGCACAGTGGCTGGATCCTAGGAACAAGAGAAATGACGGATATCTCTGTCTGAGAAACAGTTTTCTAGGTAGTGAATACAGACTTTCCTGTGAATCCAACACCGTATAACTCCTAAAAAACAACGACCAACAATGGAAATAAATTAGGTGGAGAGAAGTTGACACTGGTGGTAGCGCTGGTGCTGGGACACAATATTCCTAAAACCCAACTACAAATAACTTTGTAAATCAGGTATCTTAATTAAAAAAAATTAAAATTCTGGATAAAGGAATTATGATTAATAGCAAGGATAAACCACATATTATTGTAAAATTAAACTTTTAGGAGAAACGTCAACATCTAATATAGGAGCAGTGATGTTTCTGTTGCAGTTAATTTGGGGGGAGATGGCATTTGAACCCACATCCTGCAGTGCCAGGATCAAGCTGCATGAAAGGCGAGTACTTTAACCCCTGTACTATCTCTCTGGTCCTAAAGTTAAGCTTCCCTCTAGCTCTTCCCAGTTCAGTCAGAATTTCTGATTTTCTAATTTTTTTTTTTATCAACTGTGTCCTAAGCAAATGGTACTGAAATACCTCAATCCCTCGCATCCTATATGGTCCCCTAAGCAATGTCAGGAGTAATTCCTGAGTGCAGAGCCAGGAGTAACCCCTGAACATTACCCGGTGTGACCCAAAAAGAAAAAAAAAGATTACAGTAGCTCCTTCCCAGCCCATGAAGCGCACTGAAGCGCCATCCTCTTTACCTTCCTGGTTTCTGGGAAAGACACAGTGATTGTGGGGAAGACGCTCGACTCGGCTCATCATCTAACGTGGCCAAAATGAAGTTCGCTTCCAGTAACATGTCATCAACGCTTAAAGCTAGAGGCCTAGAAAATCGGAGGAAACAGGCTACTCATTTTCTAATGGACACTGTGGAAATAAGACTCACTCGGGAGTTAAATACAAAGTCAAAGAGAAGAGAAAGGAAGAATTTCCCATAAGTTAGTAGCCTTGAGAGCTAAGCACCACCCCAAATCACCAGATTCCCGTATTTATCTCAACTCAATCTCCTTTGAAATTTTAGTTCTGCAACATGTTAAATATCAGAGATCCATAGAGACTCATTTAGTCCTTATTATATTTTCTAAGTAACTTATTTATCATAACAGCAAATTTGTAAATTGTCTTCATGCAGTTGAAGAATGTATTTTTCTTAGAAAGGTTACCAATCATAAAACGCCATCTTATGGAATCTTTCAAAATTTGAGTTTGCTAATAAAGTCAGGTACTCCTGATATGTGTTAATTTCAAAGTATTCATGCAGTTTCATTACTAATAGGTAGCAAAAAAAAAATTCCAAAAGACCTACTTCCCAGGAAAATCAAAATGAATGGATATAGGAGCATGTGTAGCTTCTGAAAATGTCAGCATTCCCTGAAAGAAGAAAGAAGTAAAATTCTTGGAATCTTTATTAAAAACAAACAAAAAACTAGATGAACTTCTCATTATGACACTAACTTTTGTTTACCTTCAATTCTTTGAAGCAAAATGTTATTTCAGTGTCAACTCCAACTTGAAAGAAGTCAAACTCCTCAGGGCCAACAGTCATTTCACTGTATATAGAACTATTCAGGTCTATTCCACATTGTAGGAAAATAAAGAATAAAATTAATTCTAGAGGTATTTGTTTCATTTCAATATAAAATTATCACCATTCTGTGGTAGACTAAAAACAGCCCATAGTTTTTGCATCACTCCATCGACAAGTGGGAGCTGCATTTCCTTCCCTTGAACCTGGGCAAACTGACGGTTCTCACGACAGAACGTGGTGAGCTGGCGCTGGTTTCTGGGCCCAGGCTTTATGAGGCTGACATCTACCACTTCCTCTATCCCCGATCAGCTTCCTCTTCCCTGCAACAGGTCCTTGTAGAACATGGCCGCCATGCTAAGTTCACACAGTAGCAAGACCAATTTGATAGGAACGTAGGGACACTGGAAAACAACCCAGCTGGGCTCCCAACATCAGTCCCGCCATGTCAGTGCTCCATCTTGACCATCTTGGAGAGTCCCCAGCCACCATCTAACTGCAACTGCATGAAAGACCAGGCAGAGAGCTTCTGTGCTGAACCCATCAACCTCAGGGGAATGAGAGTGATTGCAAGCCACACTATGTTTGAAGCATTTGAGTGGGGGCGGAGAGAGTACAGAGAGCAGAGCTCTTGCCTTGCAAACAGTCAGCCCAGGCTTGATCCCTGGCACTATGTATGGTTTCCTGAGCCCACCGGGGATAATTTTATTTATTTATTTATTCATTCATTCATTCATTTATTGGTTTTTGGGTCATACCCAGCAATGCTCAGGGTTTACTCTTGGCTCTGCACGTTTCCATGCCTGGCACCATGCGGCTCCTCTGCACTCAGGATTTAGTCTTGGCGGTGGTTGGGGGACGCTATGGGATGCCGGGATTGAACCTGGGTTGGCCGTATGCAAGAAAAATGCTTTACCCACTGTACTATCGTTCCAGCCCCTCCAGGAATAATTTCTGATTCGTGAGTGCAGAGCCAGGAGTAAGACCCAATCACATCCGGGTGTGAGCCCAAACAGAACAAATCAAAAAAGTTTCCTTCCATTATGTACTTTATTGCTATCAACACCAAAAAGAATATTTCAGATCAAAATCTCCAACAACTTGTGCCAAAAGACTCTAGAAACTTTCTTTTGGGGGCATGAAAGGTGATGTCTGGGCCACAGCTGGCTGTGCTCATGGCTTACTTCTTGCTGTGATCAGGGATCACTTCTGGCAGTCTCCAGAGGGACGTACGCAATGCTGGGGATGGAACAGGGGTCAGCTGCTAGCAAAGCAAGTGGCTTACCTCCTATACTATCTCTTTGGTCCTCTTAGAAATTGTCTTGATGGTTTAAACATGATTTCTCCATTTTCTCTAGAATAACAGAATAACTTAGGAAAGCTAACTCAGGAACTATCCGCTGGAACTGGTAAGATAGTACAGCAGGTATTTCATGCATCCATCCTGATTTCGATCCCCAGCACCAGTATCTCTGGAACCCCACCCGTAGTGACCCCTGAGTACAGCCAGGGATGGTCCCTAAAAGTGAAACAAACGGAAGAGAAATCTGGAGAGAGCTGGACGAGCTGGAGAGAGCTGGACAAGCTGAAACGCACGTTTTCATGCCTGACACCATGCGGCTCCACGCATAACAGAATAAAAACGTTACTGTCATATCAATTGGTGGTGTAGCAAAGCAAAAAAAGATCAAAGAAGAAAACGTGGGGCTGGAGCAATAGCACAGTGGGTAGGGCATTTGCCTAGCACGCAGCTGACCTGGGTTCGATTCCCAGCATCCCATATGGTCCCCCGAGCACCGCCAGGGGTAATTCTTGAGTGCAGAGCCAGGAGTAACCCCTAAGCATCGCCCAGTGTAACCCAAAAAGAAAAAAAAAATAACAAAGAAGAAAACGTTAATGATCTTTTTTTTTACATCTACCGTTAAACAAGAATAACTAGTACACTATCAATATTTACTGTACAATTAGTAATCAGGAAGTCAGAACGTCATAGTTCATCAAAGCAACATGGCAGCTCTCATCCTTACCCAATGATTCTTCATTAGAACTCTTAAGGCAAACTTTCAGTGGAGTAACAGCAAGAGTTATTTCCTCTTGATTTGATGTAAAAAGAACAATTGCCTCAGCAAGCACTCTATAAGCACAATGAAAAATATATTTGAAAAACACCAAGAATCACATTAATGGGACTGAGTTGTTTTTTTATTTTTAAATTCATTATTTTATTTTTTTAGTTTTTGGACCACACTCAACAGTGTTCAGGTCTTACTCCTGACTCTGAGCTCAGGAATTACTCCTGGCAGTGCTCAGGGGACCTTATAGGTGCTGAGGATTGAACCAGGATCTGTCACGTGCAAGGCAAGTGCCCTCCCCACTGTAATATTCAATCTGGAAAAAAATAGATTATTTTGTTGGATGTGGAAAAATTTACCCAAAGGATATTCCATGAATGCATATATATATTATATATATATATATATATTTTGCTTTTTGGGTCACACCCGGTGATGCTCAGGGGTTACTCCTGGCTCATGCACTCAGGAATTGCTCCTGGCGGTGCTCGGGGGACCATATGGGATGCTGGGAATTGAACCTGTGTCAGCCATGTTGGCTGCGTGCAAGGCAAACGCCCTACCCGCTGTGCTATCGCTCCAGCCCCGAATGCATATTTTTTGTGTGTACTTTAAAATGGTAACTTCATTTGAAGAGCAAGAAAATAATAAAGTACACTCATAGTCCGTATGTGCAAGATGCAAAATGAACCAAATAGAAGAATCAGATGTTTTTGATTCTATATTTTCATATGCCTGGTAAACTTTTTTTTAAGAAATTGACCCTGGCGGACTGGAGAGATCATACAGGAGGTAAGCTTGCCAGGTAAGCGGCCAGTCCTGATTTGATCGCTGGCACGGCAGGAAAGTGGGCAGAAAGGGGGCGGCAGGGGAAAGTGGGGGAGTGTGCAGAGGTTCGCAAGCTTCAATCCTCTTGTCCTCTGTTATTTGTGCTAGAGGATTATCTAATACTTTCAAGGTTGTCCTTCTCTTGGGGGGGGGGGGCTGGGCGGTGTGGGGTTCTAGCTGGCAGTGCTCAGGACACCAGGCAGTACTGAAATACAAAGCCTGATCACTGGCCTGTGAGCACCTCCCAACCACCCGAGGCTGGTCTGACACTCCAAATGCCCTTCCAGTCGGGGCTCCGTAAAAAACAACTTTAAGGACAAGTCACAGGCGTAAAGTTATTTGTTTCTCATTGCCTTCGTAGCCGAGTGAGCACCCTCTTGTGCCCACTGGTCGTTTGGTGGTCATCTGGTAGCTAGCCATTCAGATCCTGTGCTCAGGTTTTAGTATTTACCATTTTCATTGTGTTCTAAGTTCTCGACTCCTGTTCTGAGGGGTGGAGTATGGACACCTGGAGATGCTCAGATTCAGATTCAGTTCTTGGCGCTCTCTCCACTCAGGAGAAGCCCCTGCTCTCTGCTGAGCACGTGTCTTACCTTAGCTCTCTCCTGGACTTCCTTTATTTCCCAATAAACTTGCTACACTTGAAAAAAAATAGTCGATAATACAGTTTTGTCTTAGTAACACTTGATATAGATGGGGCAGGGAGGGCGTCTGCCTTGCTCGTGGCCAACCTGGGTTCGATCTCCAGCATCCTATATCCTGAGCACTGCAAGGAATGATTTCTGAGTGCAGAGTCATGAGTAACCCCGGGTGCATTGCCAGGTGTGGTCCAAACAAACAAACAAACAACTAAAAACCCCACTTAATGTAGAGAGCCACTAGTGGGCTATTTTAGAATTATTTTTTCTTTTTGGGTCACACTGGGAATTGGACAGGGGTTACTCCTGGCTTGTACACTCAGGAATTACTCCTGGTGGTGCTCGGGGGACCATATGGGATACTGGGAATCGAACCCGAATGGGCCGATTTGCAAGGCAAACCCGCTGTGCTATTGCTCCAGTCCCACTATTTTAGAATTTTCTTGGACACTAAATTATTTCTGTTATTAGGCAGTTATCTACTCTTCCCTCAAAATTTCCTCAGTTTTAGAGCCCTGGGCAGGGAGGGGAGCACAGACTGGGTACATGTCGGCCTGCAGGAACCCTGTTTCTATCCCTGGCACAGCCTGGTCCTTCAGGCACCACCAGGGACAACCTCCGAGCACAGAGCCAGGAGTAGCTTCCAATCCCCCCAGCTGGGCCCCAAAATACTCCTCCCAAGTTAAGCAAATAAAAGCCCCAGGACATTAAGTATTTACTCGGTAGCCACACTATAGTCATAAAAACAAGTGAAGTAATTACCTTGGTTGAAACGTAAGTGTGTTAGAACACAAATTCTTTTCAAAAATAACTTGCAAGGGCTGACTTTCTTGAAAATATACATTATGAGTTCTTTTAATACCTTTAGAAGAATAAAGTAACCTGTTAATTGTTTTATTTTGGGGACTATGCCTGGCAATGCCAGGGGGTATACACTCAGCTTGGTGCTTGGGGGTCACTCCTAGCAGTGCTTGGGGGATCCTGAATTCCCAGGGATCAAACCCAGGCCTTCCACATGCAAAGCATCCATTCAGCCCCTGAGCTATCTCTCCAGTTTTTGTTGATACTTTTAAAGTAACAGACAGATTAAAAAGGGGCTGGAGTAGGTGGGGAGGACATTTGCCTTTCATGTTGCCCAACCTGGGTTCGGTCCCCAGCACCCCACGGTCCTCTGAGCACTCATGGCCAGGAGTGATTCCTGAGTGCAGATCCAGGAGTAACCCCTGAGAATCACCAGGTGTGCACCCCCCAGGAGAGAAATAGAATTGAATTAAAAAGAAGGTCCTTAGGTTATACAGCCACATTTAAAAAGTCCAAGAAGTACTTAAGATCTGGCAAGTGCTTCTAGTGAGCAAGCACCAGTCTTAGTGAAATGTGTTTACTGCCCCCTAGTGGATTACCTGCCACATGCAGTTACTCTCACTGTCCTCCCGTTGTTCATCTATTCACGGGCCCTGTAACGTCTCCATTGTGAGACTTGTTGTTACTGTGTTTGGCATATCGAATACGTCACGGGAGCTTGCCAGGCTTTGCCGTGCGGGTGAGATACTCTCAGTAGCTTACCGGGCTCTCTGAGAGGGGCAGAGGAATTGAACCTGGGTCAGTCGGGTCAGCCACGCAAGGTAAATGCCCTACCGCTGTGCTATTGCTCCAGCCCACCACATGCAGTAAATTTTCAAATTCCTTTTGAAATACAGGTAATGTGTGTGTGTGTGTGTGTGTGTGTGTGTGTGTGTGTGTGTGTGTGTGTAAAATTTATTTGGGAAATAAAGGGAGGGGGCTTGCTCTTCGAGTCCTTGTTCTCCCTTGAACACATATCTTGCTTGTTGTGTCTAAGTGTTTTTGCTTATTTCCATTCTGAAGGAATATCTGTTCTCTCTAAAACATGTACTTCTCGGGGCTGAAGCAATAACACAGTGGGTAGGGCGTTTGCCTTGCACGCAGCCAACCTGGGTTCGATTCCCAGCATCCCATATGGTCCCCTGAGCACTGCCAGGGGTAATTCCTGAGCGCAGAGCCAGAAGTAACCCCTGTGCATTGCTGGGTGTGACTCAAAAAGCAAAAATAAATAAAAATAAATAAATAAAATATGTACTTCTCCTTCCTCTCCCCTCACATGTTACTAAGTAAATTTCAATAAAAACCACATCACTTCACCAATAAATAAATAAATAAATAAAAGAAGAGAAACACAGAGAGGCATGCTCAAAAAAGAAAATGGGTTTCTCCAGAATGGAAAAAGGTGAAAATATAGAGAATTTGGGGGCTAGAGCGGTAGTACAGCAGGGAGGGCATTTGTTTTGCATGTAGCCAAACCGGGTTTAATTCCCTGGCATCCCATATGGTCTCCCAAGTGATCAGGAGTAATTCCTGAGTGCAGAGTCAGGAGTAACCCTGAGCATCTCCGGGTGTGAACCAAAATAGGGAATTTCTTAATTGTGTATAAAATAGTGATTGTCACTCATATAACTGGTTTTCATTGATACATATAGTCCGAACTTTTAGAATTTAGACATAAATACTGGGTCCGTGAGTTATTTTCTCTTAGAGGAGGAAAGAAGTGCATTGCAATCCTTCTATGGCCTTATGCACCAGGAACTGCAGCCAAAGTTGTTATATATGTTACCTTTATGCTCACAATACCCATATAGGTTGGACATCAAATCTCCAAAGAGTTTCTCAGTGTAGCAGAATTTCAAGGCTATGCTGTTTGGGAAAGTAAAGCTAACATCTGAATTCCACTCCACTCCAGTACCTAGATTATAAAACCGAGATGGTCTAAAACTTTTCACAGCCTAAGAGAGTACCCGTGAAAAACAAAAGGGATCATTAGAAACATCTCCCAACTTATGTTTTTTATAGAATAGTAATGTTCATTAATTTGATAAATATTTTCTGGGTACCACTATGTACAAGTCGTTATTAACTGGTATTTGCTGGATAACAAACTGCTCCAGGGGCGGGATGACAGTCCAGTGGGTAACAATCTTGTCCTGCATGTACCTGACCTGGGTTCGATCTTCGCACCCCAAATGGTCCCCTGAACCCCACCAAGAGTCATTCCTGAGCACAGAGCTGGAGTTAGCCCTGAGCACCTGTGTAAACACAAAAGGGCAGCGGTGTTCTATCTCTGCACCGCCCGCATTCAGTAGTCTTGGGTCACTACCCCACCCCGGGGAGGTCAAGGGCGATGGGCAGGTGAAGGAAGGAATGAAGGCCAGCTGGTTGGTCTCAAGTGCCGTTTATTCTGATCTCATCTCCGTCCACTCCTGACTCTCCCTCTGCTTCTTCCCCAGCCATGCTACTTCATTCTTCTTGACTCCCCTTCATTCTCTTTCTGGCTCTGGAACCCCCAGCCTCCTCTTACAGCTTAGTTAAATCCCAAGAAAGAGGGATTGGGGCTTACAAATAGGTGTGGTCACAATCAATAGGGGTAAAATCCTTCCCTTCTAGGACAGATTCTCATTCAGCAGGACGACCCACCCTAGAGCGGAATCCCATGGGTGTGTTTCTCCTCTCTTGTCCAACAAATATATAAGCATTTATAATATTAATCATTTTGTATGGACACAGTAAGAGATATACTAAGCTTATAGAATTGCTCTCCTGGGGCCATCTCTATCTCAGACTATAGTGCTCAGGCCAGATTAGTTTTTTCTATCCCTAGCAAGGTTCTAATCTCGTTGTTACTTCTGGATCATGACAGCATTTGTCCGTGACCATGCTCTCAACTTATAGTTGAGTATTGTGGTGCTTTGGCCTGGCCCATTTCGATGCCAGGTTAGCTCACAGCTTGCCCTGGGTCCATTCAGTCCCTCGTCAGGACCCTGCTTTTGGGGTGCTAGGAACTAAGGGCAACTGAGGCTTAAGTTGAGAAAGCAGATGCCCAGGAGTGAATAATATTCGAAGCCAATTAAACCCCAAGTTACAAAAGCATAATATTAACTGTCTTCCTGTGCCTATACAAAAAGGACATTGCTTTAAAGTAAACTATTCAAAAGACATAAGGAGAGTAGAAAGGCAATATTTTACTCATACATATAAAATAATAGATTCCTGAGGAATCTGATGTTACAAGTTAATAGAGTCTGATTAGGGGAAAAGGGTGATAGACCAGTCGGGCAAGAGAGCATAGAGAGGAATTTACAGATAAACAAAGGAATGGGAGTGACTCGGGAGCACTGTGATGGGTGTAACCCAATAAATCTAACCTCCCTGTGGCAAGGGAGAAAGGACAAACCAATGTTAGGCCTAAAATATTTAGAGCTATATTCCAACAAGCACTACTGGCTGTGACCCCCAAAACAAAACAAAAACCCTCCAAAACTCTATCATTCAAAATAGGGGCCAGAGTGATAGTACAGCAGGTAGGGTGCTTGCCTCGCATGTGGCAGACTCGGGTTTGATCTCCGGAACCAATATGGTTCCCTGAGCCTGTCAGCAGTGATCCCTAAGTGCAGAGTCAGGAGTAGGTCCTGAACATGTCCAGGTGCTTCCCCCCACCCCAGAAAAAAAAAACAGAAAAACAAAAAAAAGAAAAAAACCATTTGTTACTTGTCAATTCAGTTGAGTGGTTCTGTGTTAGGCTAGCTGAGTGTGGGCTAGATCCTGTTGGATGGCCTCCCTTTCACATCTGAGAGCGGAGGGCTCTCGCTCGGTCTCAGACTGAAGGAAGATTCTTTAACCAAGGAAGCTGATGGGCATTCTGAAGGCCTGAACTTGGAATTCCACCATGATCACTTCTAGAGCATTCTACGGCATAAGTCCAAGGTTCAACCAACACTCAGAGTAGGCACATACGATGCATATTTTTGAGGGTTGGAGAGATAGTACAGTGGCGAGGTGCTTGCCTTGCATGAGGCCAACCTGGGTTCAACCCTTGGCACCTCATCTGGTCCCCGTGCCCACCACAAGTGACCCAAGTGCAGAACCAAGAATGAACCCTGAGCACCACTGGTGTGGCCCCAAAGCAAAAACAAACAAATCCATATTTTAAGGGGTGGGGCTTATAAGTGATCTGTGAGCTATATTTGTAACTATATATGTTTGTCACTATATTTTTGTAACTATATAGAGATAATTTTAGGTGCTGGGGACTTGCAAAGAAAAAAATCAGTCAAAAATCCCTTATCTCATAGTGCTTGAGGGCTCTAGCAGGGAAGACATACAATAAGAAAATAGGGGGCCGACCCTTGAGCGCCACCAGCGTGGCTCAAAAAACTTTTTAAAATCAAAACACAGGAGGGGCTGAAGAGATAGCACAGCGGGGTAGGGCATTTGCCTTGCACGCGGCCGACCTGGGTTCGATTTCCAGCATCCCGTATGGTCCCCTGAGTACCGCCAGGAGTAATTCCTGAGTGCAGAGCCAGGAGTAACCCCTGTACATCGCCAGGTGTGACCCAAAAAAACAAAACAAAACAAACAAACAAACAAAAAACACAGAAGGAACTAATACCAACTATTTCACAACGCTGTACAGCAAGAAGATAGTACTTCTCTAGTATTTAAAATTATTCAGCCATAAACCCCCCAGATTCTTTTTATCTTTGGTCCACACCTAGCAGTGCTTAAGGCTTACTCCTGACTCTGTGCTCGGTAATCACTCCTGGTGGTGCTCAGGGGACCATGTGGGTTGCCATGGATCGAACCTGGGTTGGCTGCGTCCAAAGTAAGCGCCCTCTCGGCTGTACTATCTCTCTGGCAAAAGCACACAGATTCTAAGTGACAATGCAGTGAGAAGGCATGGCATATAGTTTGAATAGTATTAACTCGAACAACAAAAATACAGTAATTTGAAGCCAGAGAGATAGTCCAGCAGGAAGTGTTTGCCTTGCACACAGCTAACCCTTGTTTGATCCACAGCACCCCATAAGATCCCCCTAGCCCCACCAGGAGTAATCCCTGAATGCACAGCCAGGAGTAAGCCATGAGCAAAGCAGGGTGTGTCCCAAAAACAAAACAAAAAATACAGTAATTTGGGCAAAGCAGATAGTACAGTGGTTAAAGCACTTATCTTGCATGCATCCCACAGTAGGCAGATCCTGGAATCAGATATGGTCCTGTCCACGCCCCCCTCAGCACTGCCTGTATGATCCAAACCCATCCACCCCACCCCTATAAAAATTTAGTTTTCATTATACTTACCATGTTTGTAGAAGAACTGAACAACCACTTTGCACTTATCAGATCTGGTGAATATCTTACACTTCTCTACATTTCTTTCGCGGGAATTCAGACATTTAAAAATGGGCAGAATTGACTGTAACAAACATAGGACAATACATAGTTAATTTGGTTGTATGTTTTTGGGGGACCTGGGGAGGGTCCACCTGGCTTTGTTCAGGGCTTACTCCTGGCTCTGCACTCAGGGATCACTCTAGGCGGGGTCTGGAGGACCATAAGTGGGGATGAGGGTCACAATGGAGTGGAGCACACGTAAGGCACACTCCTTATATGGCCCCCATTTTTTTCCTTAAAGGAGAGAGTGAATAGTCATAAATGAATAAACTTGTCTTATACACTATTCAACCCAAATAGTAAGCATAAAATGGATGGCACATACAGTATGACAAATATTTATCCAAGAGAAAATCTGCGTCACATATTTACTTTCATTCCCAACTGGCAATTTAGATTCGGTGTTGTGTCATTATCCGTTGTCACAGAGGCTGACCACTGGTAATGCTGAAAAAACACCGGACAGAAGAGGACACAACCATATGCTGACCGGCAAGAATTCACAGATCTTAGAGCAAGCTGAAAAAAAAAAATTAGTTACCTAGGAGAAAATCAATTCCTTTAAATTATTAATTAAACATACTATTAAGTTCAACATAGCAATCAAGTATATTCAAAATGGTAACTATATAATATTAGCATAAAATGATGTATTTATCATTGTACATATAATTATAAAACATATTCTTCATATTTCATAATTTTACATATTTAAGATTATACATATGTAATTTTAATAATTTTTAAACTTAACATTAAGATTTATGTATAATTATATGTGAAATATTAATGCATATAATAAATATATACACAGCATTATGTGTCACTGAATTTACATATGTATATTTATGCATACATACACATATAACTTGACCCCTCTCTCATTTTTTTTTTAATGTAGGAGTATTGCTATTTATTCAGCCACTAGCCTAGCTGACTGAATTGGGCATGAACTCCACTTTACTTTTTTTTTTTCATTTTTTATAATTTTATCTATTGGATCACCCGTGAGAGCAGTTACAAAGCTTTTGGGTATAAGTCTCGGTCATACAATGAAACACCCGTACCTTCACCAGTGCCCATTCTCCACCACCAAAAACCCCAGTATACCGCCATCCCACACCCTCTCCCTACCTGTGGGGCAGATGATTTCCACATTACTCTCTCTCTACTTTGATCACATTCAATATTTTGACACCAGACCCACCATTATTATTTGCGATTTTAATAGCACAGTGGGTAGGGCGTTTCCCTTCCATGCAGCCAACATGGCCAACCGGAATTGGATTCCTTCACCCCTCTCGGAGAGCCCTGCAAGCTACCGAGAGTATCTCGCCCGCATGGCAAAGCCTGGCAAGCTCCCTGTGAAGTATTCGATATGTCAAACACAGTAACAACAAGTCTTACAGTGGAGACGTTACTGGGCCTGCTCGAGCAAATCGATGAATGGGAGGACAGTGCTACATTGCTACCCCAACACTCAGATCTACTGAAAAGGCAACACTAGACAATTTGTTTTCTATTGCTGGTTATGAGTAACATATGGTGTCGTGTGGCTGCAGTAGTGGCCGCACAATTTTGGAATTCTGAAGTTTTAACAGTTAAATTTGGGCCTCTCCCAATTTTTAAGGGTTAAAAATTATTTCAATTAAAAAAACAAATTAGGGGCCAGAGAGACAATCCAGTGGGCATGGCATGTGTCTGACATAGGTTTGATTTCTAGTGCCACATGTGGTCATCCAGCAATGCCAGGCCTGAGTAAGCCCTGAGCACCTAAGGGTATCATCCAAAATAATTCTGAGCACAGAGCTAGGAGTAAGGTCTGAGCATCACAGGGTGTGGCCCAAAATAAAACAAAAAATCCCAAACAGTTCTGTAGGATAACATTGGTATGTCCTTTCTCCTTGCTGCACAGAGCTTAGGTTTATTGGGTTACACCATTCACAGTGCTCCCGAGGCACTCCCATTCCTCTGTGTTTATCTTTAACTTCTCTGTGCTCTCTTCCTCAACTGGTTAATCACCTATTTCCCCTAAGCAGTACTTATGACTTGTAAAGTTAAATTCCCCAGAAATCTCTGGATTTGTGTTTGTAAGTGAAATATTGCTCTTCTCTTTCCCTTATGTCCTTTGCATGGTTTACTTCAGAACAATGTCCTTTCTGTATAGACACAGGAAGACAGTTAATGCTACACTTCTGCAACTTGGGAGTTAATTGACGCCGAATAGTATTTACTCCTGGGCATCTGTTTACCTGACTTAAGCCTCAGTTGCCCTTAGTTCCTAGCACCCCAAAGCAGGGTCCTGATGAAGGGACTGGATGGACCCAGGGCAAGCTGTGAGCTACTCTGGCATCAAAACAGACAAAGTGCCAAAATACTTAACTATAAGAGCATGGATTTGGGCAACTTCTGTCATGATCCAAAGAGAAAGAACTGGACAAGGACCCTGCTTAGGGTTAGGAAGGACTCATCTGGCCTGTGCACTGTAGTCTGGGATCTATAGCGAGATGTCCCCAGGACAGCCACCTTATTATACGTTTAATGTATCTCTTACTGTGCCCATACAAAATGACTAATATTATTAAGAAGTAGAATTAAGATGAATGTTTAAATGGTTGTTGGACTAAGGAAAGGAGAAACACACTCCTAGATGAAATTCTGCCCTTGAGTGACCTCCTAGCAGGGGATCTTTGCCTTAGAAGAGCTTCCTGGGAAGGAAGGGAAGGGTTTTACAATGTTGATCATGCTCTCTGACCTAGAGGTAGTTGCTACTCCCAATGCTTGGAGGTTGGGCAGAGACACTAGCCTGGGGGACAGGAGGAGATGGGAACAGAGGGGCAGTGTGAGACTGGAATGGGGCACTTAGTGAGACTGGAACTGGCGTGTGGGGAGAATTGAATAAACAGTAACTGATCACCACCAGCCTGGCGGCCCTGTTCCCTCCTTCATGCGTCTGTTGGCGGTGGCTGCAGGCCGGGGTGGGGAGGCAGCTCATGGCCACCAAACACACATGGCAGGTGAGAGAGACCATGCCAACGCCACTCATTTATTATGTGAACTTGCACACAGTTTAGGACTGACAGAATACTTCTGCAAGCCATATCTAAGTCTTGATCACCGGTACATAACTTCTGGTTGAAGTTATTTCAGTTTAATGCCCGATATTAAAGCTTACTCTATATTTTCAGATACATGTGCAGAAAAGATAAATGGTAAAACTGATCCTTACAATTTCTAGATATCTTACTTAGCTTCAGTCTGGATGTCAGACATCTCTTTCCTTCACAGAGCTATGAGTTGACTTATTTTTTTTATATATTTTGCTTTTTGGGCCACACCCGGCGATGCTCAGGGGTTCCTCCTGGCTCTGCACTCAGGAATCACTCCTGGTGGTACTCAGGGGGCCATATGGGGTGCTGGGAATTGAACCCGGGTTGGCTGCGTGCAAGGCAAATGCCTTACCCGCTGTGCTATCTCTCCAGCCCTGAGTTGACTTTTTACTTACACCTTTGTCAGATGGATCCAGCCACAGCTCATCACTGACTCGTGACAGGGCCTGGACTGCTCTCCCAAATACTGTGGAGAAATAGAAAAGTGCTCCTTACATACTTATCTCTCAAGCAACAAGAACAAATAAGGACTACTCAGTGTCTACAAGACTCAACAACACCTTACAGGTAATGCTACATTTTTGGGGGCTTATTTTTGTGTCACACCAAGCGATACACAGGGGTTACTCCTGGTTCTTCACTCAGGAGTTACTTCTGGCGGTGCTCAGGGGACCATATGGGATGCTGGGAGTCGAACCCGGGTCAGCCACGTGCAAGGCAAACGCCCTACGTGCTGTGCTATCTCTCTAGCCCCGGTAATGCTACATTAAGAAATACAGAATAATACCCTTGGCAAAAATGCCTGACACACAGTAAGAACTCCATAAACAACCCACTAAGTGTGACATGATAAAATGCACACTTCAGTACCTTTTCATAGAGGCTAGAATGTCATGAAACGCTACGATCTGGCATGACACCATTATTATTCTTATACATTTGAATAAAAATATTGCAAATCGATTTTCTACTTTATGCTTATAGTATAGCAGATGAGGTGAACCATCTTCCATACTACTGGGTTTTTAAATAAATGTATCTCTCCTTTTTTTGCCCCCAAAACTGTGAAAATAAGAGCATGGGGAAGTCGGTCTAAAGGTTTCAACAGGGTTAGGTGAATCGGTCAAAGTGCCGGAGCATATGGTGGCATGCAAAGGGTCCTGGTGAGACCCTAGCACCACAGGGTCTCCCAACTATCTCAGACGTGGCACTTGGCAGGCTGCACAAGCTCTGGGGAGGACAAAAGTCAAACAATAAGGGGGTTGGGGGCTAGAGTGAGAGTACAGCAGGCAGGGTGCTTGTCTTACACTTGTCCCACTCGCCTTCTGTCCCTGGCACCTTAGAGGGTTCCCTGAGCACCACTGCTACGAGTAATCCTTGAGTGCAGAGTCAGGAGTAAGCCCTGAGCACCACTGGTTGTGTCCCAGGAAACAAAAATGGTGGGTGGCTTTATAATTTCACAGGTGGTAATGCTAAGACGAGTCACGAGAAAGAAATTAGAGACACTCAAGATCCATTTCAGATGTTTCAGAGCATGGAAAGTGCTAGATCTTACCACCACACACATTTTGACACCCTGTCAAAGAGCAGCTTGGACTAAGGGAAATTTTCATCTAATCTGGACTACTACTCTTAATGTTCTTGTAAGAATAAATGTAATCGGGCCAGAGAGATAGTCCAGCAGATGGGGCCCTTGCCTTGCAAACCGCTGACCCAGGTTCCCTCACCAGCATTACATATGGTCCCCCAGGCATCACCCTGAGCAACTGCTGGGTGTGTCTCCATCCCTCCCCCCCCCCCCATAAAACCAAAAGAATCAATTTTAAATGTGGCAAATAGGATGCTATGATGTAGGAGAAATGGGTGGCCAAATCAATTCACAGAAAGGGGGAAAAAAATCAATCCAGAAAATCAGATGACTTAAGAATGCCTAAGAGACAGAGCGGGGTGCTAGTACAGCGGCTCAGGCGTTTGTTTGCCTTGCATGTAGCCAACCCGGGTTTGATCGACGGCATCTCATATGGTCCCCCGAGCACTGGCAGAAGCAAATTCCTGAGTGCTGAACCAGTAGTAATCTCTGAGCATAGCTGGGTGTAACCCAAAAAGCCCTCCCCCAGCAAAATGCCAGAGAGGCCCTGGTCACCCCAGCACTGCCAGGACTGACTCCTTAAACACTGTTGGGTGTGGCATTCCCCCCCCCCCCCACACACACACACTCTCCCTCACCCCCGTCAACGTATGCTTAAGAAATTCTTAAGAATACTAAGTGGTGGGGCCGTTTGCCTTACATGCGGCCGACCCGGGTTCGATCCCCGGCATCCCATATGGTCCCCCAAGCAACGCCAGGAGTAGTTCCTGAGTGCAGAGCCAGGAGTGACCCCTGTGCATCGCTGGGTGTGACCCAAAAAGCCAAAAAAAAAAAAAAAGAATACTAAGTGGTGAATTGGGGGAAACAGAAGAGCCTTAAACTGCTCAAGTCAGGATGACCAAGAAAAAAGGAGCACTTGCTCCTTTTGACCACTTCACATTCACCACTTTTCCCAGGAGCTGGCTCAAGTTGATCCTTTTGGTCAAACTCGGAACACCCATGACGTTCTAAATACTACCCAAGGCAATGGGGTACTGCGAAGAACTAGACAAGCTCCTGTCCACATAGTGCTTAGAGTCCACAAGGAAAAGCCAAATGCAACAGTCGTACAGTTGGTATTGAGAACTAAGGTAAACACTGCGTGAGAACTTTCTAGAATTCCAGGAAGCGGCAACTTCCTGGGTCTTAACGCTTCAAAGAAAGTCCTTTGTTCAAAGAACACCAGGGATTCCGTCCAAACACGGGCCTTTCAATGATCGTTTTCCGACTAGGATCTGTCGGAAACGACCGTTTTTTCCCCCTGAGGTTTCCTGTAGTAACCTATTTTAACGGGCCCGCGCAGAATCACAGTTCTAGAGCATTCTATGGCTCTTCGCGCTTCTCCACTTCATCTTCTACAGCGAGTTCTACGGACAGAGGAGCTGTTTTCACTTTAAAGACAGGAAACAGCCCCGGAGTGAAGAGATCCAGTGGCTGATTTGAGAGAAAACGTTTAAAAAAAAAATCCAAAAAACCCAAAACCCAAACACGAGAAGAATGCGGCTGAGTCAGGGTGGGGCACGCCCTGGCTGGCCTGTGGCTCGCGGGCATCGGGCACCTGAGGCCTGGGCTCCATCCCCACCCCCCAAACCAAGCAAGGTGCGATCTGGAAGTCAAGTCAGGTTTCTGGTTCTCTCAGCACGAAAGACGTCCTCGGTCCGAGTGTTCTAGTCTCCCCCGGTCCCCTCCCCGGCGTCCCGTTTGGGAGGCCCCGGTCCCCGTATCTGCCCCGACGGGGCAACTTCATCCGACGGACAGGCAAGGTGAGGAACAGCGGGCACGGATGCCAGCAGAAGCGTTTTCTCCCCTCAGGGAGCCCCGGGTGGCCCTTCCTGCTCTTGCCCGTCCCCACGGCTCTCGCGCTTTCTCAAGGCCCGGGGAGGAGACTCGAAGCCAGGCGCGGCCGGGGGCTCCCACAAGCTCGGCCTTTCCCCTCTGCACACACGCAAGCCAGAGAGGCCGCGGCACCTTTCCCCTGGCCGCCGTTCATCTCGCACTTCAGCATGGCCGCGGGCCCGCGTCGCCGACGCCGGAAGTGCCCCGCGCGCTTCCCAGCGGCGCGATCTCCCCGCGGCCTCCGCCGCGCTGCCCGGCCCGGGCCGGGCCCGGCTTCGCGCGACGGCGGGGAAAGGCCCGTGCGAGCCCCCGTAGGGCGGCCTCGCGCCCAGCTCGCCGCTCATTGGCTGGCGCGGGGGTGGGCGGGGCGGCCGGAGCCTGAGGAAGAGGGCGGCGGTGGTTGTGCTGACCGAGCTCGCGGAGCCCAGTGACAGGATGGTGAGGGCGGCCGCCGCCGCGCGCCCCTCGGCCGGGAGGCTGCCTCGTGGGGAGCCCCGGGAGGAGGGCGAGGGCTGGGGCGGGCCCGGAGGCCCCCGGTGGGCGCGGCCCGGCCCCGCGCCGGGAGCAGGCCCGGTGGGAAGGCGTGGGGTGGGGGTGGGGGGCGGCGGCGGGGAGGCGCCGCCGCCACCTCAGGGTGCGGCCGGCCCCGATCGCGCCGCAGCCCGGGGCCCGGACCCGTCGAGGGCGGCTGCCGCTTCTGTCACGAGACCCGCTCGCCCTCGCCGCGGAGGCCTGGGGGCGCGCGCCTGGCGCTTCCCGAGGGGGGCACGGCCCCCTTCCGCTTCCAGACGCTTCCTCCGCTCGCGGCTGCCCCAGGCGCCGCCCGCCGCTCCCGGGGTCGGCCCCGGGCCCCTGCCTCCCGGGGGCGAGAAGCGGCCGCTGGGCTGGGCGGAGAATCCGCGCCCCGCTCCCTCCCTTCCCGCCGGGCGTCCGCCGCCCCGGGGGCCGGGGGAGAACCACGGGGTCCCCCTCGCCCGGGAGGAGCGAGCCGACGCCTGGGGACGGGGCCGCGCGCCGCAGAGGCCGGGGCGGCGTTTCCTCCCTGGGCCGAAGTGGTCGGGGAAACTCCCGCGCCGGATCCCGGAGCCCCCGGACCCCCCCGGACCCCCCACACCAGACGCCCGGGAGCTGCCCCGCCCTCCACCCCCCACCCGCGCGGACTCTGTTTTCAGAGGGAGCGACTGGGGGGGGGGCTCGGGAGGGAGCGCCGCCGAGCTCGGGGTGGGGGGTGGGGGGTGCACGTTTCAGAGTCCCGGTTTTGCAGCAGATGGGACCCGGGGGAGGTGGCGACCTCACCTCCACGACAGCCCACGCCGCCTCGGTCGTTGATTTGTGGCGGTAAACGCCCTCCGCCGCCCCCCTTTAATTTTTGCTTTTCTGCACAGACTCCCGTGGTGAGTCTAGAGGGATCCCTTTAGGGTGATGAGTTCACAGTCCTTTTGAGAAGAGGAAATGACCCGATCTGATTCCCTGCTCATCCGTCTGAAGTTTGCTGAGCGCTGAACAGATTCTTGCTTGGGACTTGGGCTGGTTCGACTGGAACATCGCCCCCCCCTCCCCACCGCCCCCGTGAAATAGAATGAAGTAGAATTTAGCGATTTGGGGGGCGAAAGAGACTAGAAGCATCTCGTTTGGCTCAAGAGAAATGAGTCTAGGTCACTGGAGTGCCGAGCGCTCGGGACACATTCAGATGTGGAGAAGGTCGGTTTTTAACCGGAGGAATCTGTCTTTAGGATCTGTCGTTGGCGACTTAATAACTCCACCAATGACGACCTGCTGATAGCATAAGTTTTCAGCTGCAGATGTTCCCCAACTTAATGATTTGAAATTTTTTCAGCTATCCAATGGTGAAAAAATGACAGGCGTTCATTAGAAACTAACCTTTGAAGTTTGAATTTTTGTGTTTTCCTAGAGTAGCAACATGCAATGCAATAATTCTCCTTCTCCTGGTGGTGGTGCTGCTGCTTGGGGGCTGCCCCCACTGGTGATCTGGGGTCCCTGTGGTGCTGATCAGGCCTTCCGATTGCCAAGCATGGGCTTCGCTGTTGAGCTCTCTTCTGCCCTAATACTCTGCATGCTTGGAAGCTCTAAGATTATGAAGGTAGAACCCATCACTGTACAAGAGTAGATGACAACATTCTTACGCCTGCATACTGGTGAAAATGGAAATATTTTGTGGACTGTTAAGAGAAAAATATAATTTACCAGTCAGTATAGTACTATGACATGATCCAAGTGTACCATGTGTTAAATGGCAGGAAATTTCTTATTTTGGCTTTTTGGGCCACACCCCTCAATGTGCAGGGGTTACTCTTGGCTCTGTACGCAGGAATTACTCCTGGTGATGCTCAGGGGACCATATGGGATGCTGGGGATCGAACCCGGCTTGGCCGTGTGCAAAGCTAACACCCTGCTCGCTGTACTATCGTTCTGGCCCGATGGCAGGGAAATTTCTGCAGTCTGATGTTGGTCTGTATGAGGACAGTTGAAAACCACTGACTTACCCATGGTTTTTTGCTTTCGTATGTAGTGTTTTTGCATCCCATCATATAGGTGACTATGCAGGTGTAGCATATCACTTTTTACTTAGACAATTTTCAACTTTTAATGGTTAATGAGGAATAACCCCATTATATATCAAGGGAGATCTGTATTGAAATTTTGAAAATTGAAAAATTAAAAGTTAGTACACTTGTGGGGATGGAGAGATACTATAGCCTGTCGGGCACTTCCCTTGCACACAGCTGACCCAGATTTGATCCCCGGCATCCCATACAGACCCTAAGCCTGCCAGGAGTGACCTGCATACTGGTGTGTCCACCCCCCAAAACAAAACAAAAATAATATACTTGAGGATTAATTAGACCTTAAAAATTCAGAAAATGGGTCCAGAGACATACCTCAAAGGGCTAGAGTACATGCTTTGTGTGTGGGAACCCCAGATTGGATCCCAGGCACCAGATGGCTCCCTGAGCACTGAGCTTTAGCTCATGAGCACCACTGGGTGTGGGGGAGCCCCCCCATAAAAAAGATAGAACATTCAGAAGATGGTATTTTTTGTCTAAACTTATCACTGAAGGAATCTTTTAAATTGTGTTACAAAATTCTAAGAATTGGAAACAGGATAGGTAGGTTATTTGCCTTGCATGCAGCTGACCTGGGTTGGATCCCCAGCATCCCATATGATCTCCCAAGCACCACCAGGAGTAACCCCTGAGCATAGCCAAGTGTGATCCGAAAAGAAAAAAAAAAAATTCAAAAAAAAATTGGAAATAAAAGGGATGGTAGTCAACGTGGAGAACAAGATTAGGAAATGCAAATAAAATTGATAAGCTGTGTGCGTGTTTGAATACACATTTTAAAAAACAGCAACTCTTTTATTGTGTGTGTTTTAATGTGCATATGTTTAAAAATATGGCAAATCTTTTATTATTGTTTTGATCCAAGCTGATTTTTAACATTTTCTTTCATAACACTCGGAAATCATTAACAATTGCATATTCATTTGATGTAATTTTTTTTTGTTTGTTTCTTTTTCATTGCTTTCTTTTAACATTGGTCATGTTTCGCCCTTTTTTTTCATTCCCCTGTCTGCAATCAACTTCTTCATCCCACTAAGGCTGGGCACAGAGTAAGTTTCTTCTCTTAGCACCTACTAACAATGGTGGTTGGGTGTCTTCATTACTGGATTTTTCATCCTCTCAAGATTTGTTAAACAGGAAGTACCAAATTCTTACACATTGATTGCATTGATTCTTTAAATGGACTTAACATAAGACTGGTATTTCTAGGATCTGTCTTTGTGTTTAAAGATCACATCTGGGGGCTGGAGCAATAGTACATGCACTTACCTTGCATATGGCTAGCACAGGTTCAATCCCTGGCATTCCATAGTTTCCCCTGAGCACTGCCAGGAGTAATTTTCTGAGTGCAGAGCCAGGAGTAACCCTGGAGTATTGCTGAATGTGGCCCCCCAAATGGAGTTCATTCTGCATGGTTAGATTCCTACCTGCAGCCATCAAAGGATGTAGCCGTGGAGGTCCTAGGCACTGCTGGTGTGGCTCTTGAGGCCCTCAGCATTGCCTGGGTAACTAGATTGGCCCTGGGTATTTCCATTATTTTAGGGCTCTGGCAGACCATAGCTTGGGAGGCGCCCCAAACCCCAAAAAGATCACATCTAACCTAAATAGTCGGAGGATAGGATTTGGGTAACATGAGTTATGACATTTATTTTGTGACTCTATTTTCTTTATCATTCGATTGTGTGTAGTAAACTATATAGTAAGTGAAAGAAAATCACAGTTGGGGCTGGATATAGCAGATAGGGCCTTTGTCTTATACACAGCCAATCTAGGTTTTTGATTCCTGATACCCCAAATGGTCCTCTGAACCCTTCCAGGAATGATCCCTGAGTGCAGAGCTAGAAGTAAGTCCTGAGCACCACAGCGTATGGCCCAAAAAACAAAAAAAAGAAGAAAGAAAGAAATGTTTGTATCATCCAGTTATATCCTTAGACTGTTAATAGTCTTGAGTATGCGTGGGCATAATCCACAATAGATCATAGAATTGAAGTTATAATGATTGTGAAGACTCTTGCTAAAGTTCTTATAAGCTGCCATCTCGCCCCCCCCCCCCCCCCCCCCCCCCCCCCCGGGTTTTGGAACTGCATCTGGCCATGTTTGGGGCTTACTCCTGTGCTGCACTCTTGGTGGTGCCCCAGGAACCAAGATATCTTTTTATGAGATTTAGGTTTGTCTTAATTTTTTTAATACAGAAATCTATTTTTTAACCTTTTTTCAAATATCAGCTTCCCACATTGACTATGTGCTTCAGCTGATATCTGAAAGGATATCCTGTTAAAAACATTGTATTTCTAGGTATACTTTTTAGTTAATTATCAGTGAGGGTGGAAACTTCAAATGAATTTTAGTTTTACAAGATATTTTGCTAAGATTCGGATTGCAATAATGTCATTGAGCAGATACCACCTGCAGTTGTAAAGAACAGACTATAAACTCGGAAAGAAGAAATGTATTTAACAATATCTTTTCAAATTCAGTTTGTAACCTTGTGTTACTTTTACTCATATTCTGATATCAGTGCCTTTCCTTTGCACACTTGATTTAGTTATTTTAATTTTGCTCATTTTGGTTTTTGATTAATTTCAGTTTACAAAGCTATTTCATGCTACTTTAGATATGTAATGTTTTCTTTGATAGTAGTAAGTATTTGTTTTGCCTAATTTGAAAGCAGTTAAAAAGATGTGTACATCTTTATGGAAAATATCCTGTCAAAAGTGCTTATAGTAAACAACTTGAAAAAACTTTCCTTTGGGGCTGGAGAGATAGTACAAGGAGTAAGGTGCTTGCCTTGCATGCAGGTGACCTTAGTTTGCCTCCCAGCACAGATATGATCCCCGTAACACTGCCAGCAGTAATCCCCAAGCACAGAGCCAGGGGGAGTCCTGAGCACACCCAAGTGTGACCCAAAAAGAACTCAGAAAAATAAAACAAGGGGCCAGAGAGAGAGAGCAGAGGGTAGGGTGCTTGCCTTACACACGGCCCCTCAGTTGCAGTCCCCAGGACTGCTTATGGTCTCCTCAAGCCCCTCAAGGAGTGACACCTGAGCACAGAGTCGAAACTAAACTCTGATCACTGCCAGGTGTCATCGCCCGGCCCCCAAAAAAGTCCTTTGAAGGACTGGATAGAATGTATTTGAAACTATATTATAGCCAAATTATCAGATTGACATTCTGGACAATGTTTTGTTAAATAACTGAATTAAATGATATCTATTTAAAAATAAAGGGACCAGAGAGATAGTACAGTGGGTAAAGCCTTGCTTTGCACCCAGCTTTGATTCCTGGTACTGCATATGGCCCGAGCCCTGCCAGGAGTAAGTCCTGAGCACTGCCAAGGGTGGCCCAAAATTAAATAACTATAGGGGGTGGACCAATAGTATAGCATAGCGTGTTTGCCTTGCACAAGGCCGACCCGCGTTCCCCAGCATCCCATGTAGTTCCCTGAGCACCTCCAGGAGCAGTTGCTGAATGCAGAGCCAGGGGTAACCCCTGAGCATTGCTGGGTTCACCTCCTCCCCAAAACAAAAAAATATAATAGAACCTGGAGCGATAGTACAGCAGGTAGAGTGCTTACCTTGCATAAAGTCAACCCCAGTTAATCTGTTTCCCCAAGTCCCACTAGCAGTGATCCCTAAGCATAGAGCCTGGAGTAAACCCTGAGCACTGCTAGATGGAACACCTCCAAGTACAAACAAAATATAAAAGGGCTGGAATGCATGCGTGATCGGCAGAAACCTTGGTGTCTATCCCCAACATTGCATGGTCCCCTAAGGAACTCTGAATGTGGCCAAAAAGAAAAAGGAGTGTTTGTGTTTAATTTTTAATTAAAACTTTATAGCTTTGAGGTTTTTATTCCTATATATTTAAATGCAAGATTTTTTAATCACCTGAAACTATTTTTAAAGACCTCTGATAAATACATTTAACTAATCTTTCTCATTTGTTTTAATACTCTGATGCACATAAAAGATTGTGAAAATGTTATTTTAAGTTTGGAAACTATATATTCACTACATAGTTTAATCTAGGTAATAAAACTAAGAGAGAGAGAGAGAGAGAAAGAGTGAGAGAGAGAGCACGAGAGACCCAAGGAGATGCTCAGTGAGCTAGAGTACATGCTTTACATATGGGCAGACTTGGTTCTATCTTTGGCACTACATGTTACTGGAGCAGTGAGCTGGGAGTAACCCCTGAGGACTGCTAAAAGCTAATATGGGAAGTATGAATCCCAAAGCTTATATATATATATATATATCATATATATTGCATATATATATGAGTTAAGATTCTGTAATGCAGTAAAGATAAACACTTGTCTTATTTGAAACTCTTTAAAACAGTTTCTGTTTTTATACCTCTAATATATAGCCAGTAGTTTTAGCTATAGCTAAAATAACAAAAATTTTGGATCCTGTTTCTCCAAAAACTTGTCTATCTAGTAAACTATGGAATTAATTTTTCTGTTATTATAGGCTGTAGTGGTAGTACAGTGGGCAGGGTGCCCTGTACGTGACTGACGTGGGTTTGATCCCTGGCATTCCATATGGTTCTCTGAGCACTGCCAGGGGTGATTCCTGAGTGCAGAGCCAGGAGTAACCCTTGAGCATCACCAGATGTGAACCCAAAACAAAAACAAACAAAAATTCTATTATTTTCATGTTTAACTACTCTCTTTATTAAGGTTTTTAGAATCAGTGTAAAGTTTTATATAACAAGTACAGGAATATGAATTACCATATTAGTCTTCAAAAATTCCATTTGGTCCAATAGTGTATTTTCATTTTGAAAATATTTAGTTTTATAGTTCTCTAAATGGATCACTTCATAAAGCTTGCTTTTATTCTTGGCAAATAAAATGATTGTGTTATGCATACACATGTTTGTCACCAAAATTATATTTGATGTGCAACAAAGCACATTGCCATACATGTGTTTATTTAAATGGCCATGACAGGAACCATATGTATAACTTCTCTTTGGGGGTCTGGAATGTTTGATAAGTTTGATTTGAAGGGCAGTTATGGGAGGAAAGCTTATAACTTTATGTCTTGTCTCACCTTGGTACTCTGAAGTTGGTGTTGGTATTAGGAGACCTGCACATCCCACACCGGTGCAACAGTTTGCCGGCTAAATTCAAAAAACTGTTGGTCCCAGGAAAAATTCAGCATATTCTCTGCACTGGAAACCTTTGCACCAAAGAGAGTTATGACTACCTCAAGACTCTGGCTGGAGACGTTCATATTGTAAGAGGCGACTTCGATGAGGTGATGTATTTCCTTCTCCCTTTCCAAATTTCCTCCCTATTTTTCTTTCCCTGTTTTAGGAATTGAATCTAGAGTCTCAGGCATACAAAGGGAAGTGCTGTACCACTGAGCTATAACTCTTGCCTTCCTTTAGTCTTTTGTAGTGCCTTTAATCTTTAGACCAGAGTTTCTCAACTCTTATTTTCTCTCTCTCTCTCTCTCTTTCTTTTTCTCTCTCCTCTCTCACCTTTTCCCTACTCCTCTCTCCCTTTCCCTCTCCTATCTCTCTTCCTCTCCCTCTCTCCTCTTCCTTTCCTTCTCCCTCCCTCTCCCTCCCTCTCCCTCCTCCTCTCCTCTCCTCTTCTCTCTCTCTCTCTCTCTCTCTGTCTCTCTCTCTCTCTCTCTGCACCATACCTGGCAGCGCTCAGGCTGTTTACAGCCGTGATCCAGTAGTCCTGTTGTGCTGGGGCTCACTCCGACACTCCTGCATGCTAAGTGTGCTCTCTGGCCTCTGGAGCCATCTCCCCAGCACCCTGTCGGGTGGTGCCAAAGTAGGTTTGGGATCATACCCGGCAGTGCTTAGGGGCTACTCCTGGCTCTGTGTCCAGGAGTTGCTCCCAACAGTGCTTGTGGGACCTTTTTTTTTGATTTTTGATTTTGTGATCATACCTGGCAGTGCTCAAGGTTTGCTCCTGGATCTGCACTCAGGAATTACTCCTGGTGCTTCAGGGACCATGTGGGATGCCGGGGATCAAACCCAGTTTGGCCGGGTGCAAAGCAGGCACCGCTATACTACTGCAGTCCCTTGTGGATGGAAAAGGCCTCCTTTGTGCATAGCATACCCTCAGCCCTATATTTATTTATTTTTACTTGATTTAAGCACCACGGTTTTTACAATGCTGTTCATAATATAGTTGTTGGGGCACCTAGTGTTCCAGCCCAAATCCCTCCACCAGTGTGACCTTCCCTCCACCAACATACCGGTTACCCACCCGCCCTCCAAGCCTGTCCCCTTAAGCACAAAAATAACACTCACTAAAACATAAAATTCTTCTCAATAATAATTCCCTTTGTAGTGGGGGTTGTTGCTGGGAAGGACACAGGCATGCTGGCCCTCTGAGGCTGCGCACATGAGCTACAGTGTCAGCATACTCTCAGCCCTATTTCACTTTTTCATTGGGGCCAGCAATGCTTGCCTGCTAGTCTGCCCAGTGGCTCAGCGTGTAGGCCCATAATTTGGTCCTGCTCAGACCTTGATTTTCCTGCTTCAGTCTCATCAGATCACTTTGCTGCATGCCACCTTCCTTTTTTTTTTTAATTAAAAAATTTTTTTAAAAAAAATTTTTATTAGTGAAACACCATGAGATATAGTTGTAGACTTACAAATTTTTGTGCTTGGGTTTCAGTTATACAGTGATCAAGTAAGTACCCATCCCTCCACCAGTGCCCATTTTCTACCACCACGGGTTCCCAGTATCCCTCCCACCCCCCATCGCACCCATCCCACCCTGCCTCTGTGGCAGGGCATTCCCTTTTGTGCTCTCTCTCCTTTTGGGTGTTGTGGTTTGCAAAAGAGGCGTTGAGTGCATGCCACCTTCCTGATTCTATCCTTCCTCCAGTTTCATCACCAAGTAATTTACACGCGTGAGCCTTTTCAGGGAAGTGAGGTCTCATCACGGTCCTGCTGAAATCCTTCACTTCCTCCCTATCTTAAAGGTTGTATAAAGGGGATTGAGGATTTGAGGAATTTGATAGAACTGTTTTATATCTTGATTGTGGCAGTGTTTACATTGCTCTGTTTGTTAAAATTCCTTGTGCACTAAGAATAATTTTACTGTATATACATAGTAAACTGACTTTAATGTAAAAAAATTCATTGTTGGGATTTCTGAAGCTCCATCTTTGTCCTTAGTTGATGATGATATTTATTTTTTTGCTTTTTTGGGTTACACCCAGCGATGCTCAGAGGTTATTCCTGGCTCTGCACTCAGGAATTCCTCCTGGCAGTGCTTAGGGGATCATATGGATGCTGGGGATTGAACCCAGGTCGGCCGCGTGCAAGGCAAACGCCCTACCCGCTGTGCTATCACTCCAGCCCCTATGATGATATTTTAAACAAATTATATCTAGGTATCCTCCTGTGTAAAATATGAATGAGACGATTTCGAGTGGGGTTTCCTAGGAGATGGTTCAAAAGAACCTTATGGGGTCCAGAGAGAGTGAAACCTACCAGACTTTGCACCTTGACTCAACCAATTCATAGTATATGGCCTGGGGAAGGCTCTTTTAACTTCTCTGCCTGTTTTATTCAAAACTGGGGTTCAGTGGGCTGGAGAGATACTACAGTGGGTGGGTTACTTGTCTTACATGCAGCCAACCTGGGTTCAATCTCTGGCCATCCCATATGGTTACCCGAGCCCAGGAGTGATTCCTTAGCACTGTCATGTGTGATCCAAAACAAAAACAAATAGGGTTCTTAATTCAAACTGCTTCCTGGAATTGTTTGTAAATATTAATTAGATTGGTACTTATAAGGCCCATGAAAAAGTGTTTTTACTAAAAAAGTGTTTACTATCACTTTAATTTAAACCATGTGTAACTATTAATATTTAGGATGTGATTTGTTATTTTTATTTTGTTTTTGGGGTCAGACAGGCCATCCTCAGGGGCTTCTCATTCTGTGCTCATAGATAGCCCACATGGCCCTGAGGATTGAACGAGGCACAACTGCACACAAAACTTTAGCCCAACCCACTGAGCTATCTCTTTGGTCCCCTAAGATATAATTTGAATACATCATTTGTTTTGTTTTGTTTTGTATTTGGGCAACCCTTGTGATGCTTGGGGGTTACTCCTGACTCTACTCAGGAATGACCCTGGTGGTGCTTAGGGACCATATGGGCTGCCAGGGATAGAACCCGGGTCGGCTGTGTTCAAGGCAAATGCCCTGCTATCACTCCGACCCCATTGAATACATCCTTGTTTCAGATTTTATACCTCAGATATTTCATAAATTTGTTGGTTGTGGATGACTGACGTCAAAATGTCAATGGGATGGAATATTTAAGCTGGCTGTTTTTAAAATCTGTATCTCTAAAATACTTTTCTTATGTCTGCTTTTTTAGAATCTGAACTATCCAGAACAGAAAGTTGTGACCGTTGGGCAGTTCAAAATCGGCTTGATCCATGGGCATCAAGTGATTCCATGGGGTGACATGGCCAGCTTAGCACTGCTGCAGAGGCAGTTTGATGTGGACATTCTTATCTCTGGACATACACACAAATTTGAAGCATTTGAGCATGAAAATAAGTTTTACATTAACCCAGGTTCTGCCACTGGAGCATATAATGCCTTGGAAACGTGAGTTGTATGCAGTTTGAGAAATTTTGTATTTTGTAGAGTTAGTAATTGCATATGTGACATTTCATAAGAGAAATTTAGCCATTTAATTATAACCATTTTGGCAGTCATCTTTAATGATTATTTTTAGTATGTAACAACCAGATTTCTTCTTGAATTTAAATTTATAGGGCTGCTGCCTTTTACTTTTGAGCACAAAACACTGACATTATTTATATTTTCTTTCAGAAATATTATTCCTTCATTTGTGTTGATGGATATTCAGGCTTCTACAGTTGTCACTTACGTGTATCAACTAATTGGAGATGATGTGAAAGTAGAACGAATTGAATACAAAAAATCTTAAAGCCAGACCCGTCTTGATGATTTTTGTTGTTTTTTTCTTCATTCTCTTGTTCAAATCAAGTAATTAAACATTTAAGAGTCACAAAATTGTATCACTTTTATAATATTTTGCAGTAAAATATATCATCTTCTGTTAATACAATGCGCTAAGCTTCTTGTAAACTATAAGAATATATTTAGTTTATGTATATGATTTCTATAAAAAATGTCCACCACATAGTAAATGGTCACATGTTAAGAAAAATTTATCTTGTAAATATCTTCAAAGTTGATACTTGGAATTTTATTACAAAAGTAGTGCATGGGGAAAAATATTCTAGACTTTCTTGTATACACATTTTTCTCTTCAGTAATAAAGTTACCTTTCATTTATACTTTCTTGATAAACAGTGTTTTACTTTTTTAGGAATGGTAAAAATGAAAGACCAGATGAAATCAGACACCCATGTAGTTATGCAGATGAAGTGACCTTCAGGGCCCTTCTTTTCTTTATAATATTGAATCATTTTTTTTTTTTTTTTTTTTTTTTTTTGCTTTTTGGGTCACAGCTGGCGATGCACAGGGGTTACTCCTGGCTCTACACTCAGGAGATACTCCTGGTGGTTCTCAGGGGACCATATGGGATGCTGGGAATCGAACCCCGGTCAGCCGCGTGCAAGGCAAACGCCCTACCCGTTGTGCTATCTCTCCAGCTCCTGAATCATTTTATTTTCTAAGCAAGTTACTGACATTAAATCTTGACTGTCCAGATATTTTTTTAAAATTTGACTATTCTTATTTTTCAGATTTGAACAGATATTTTTCTTTTTTGGTTTTGGTTCAACACCAGGTAGTGCTCAGGGCTTATCAGGGGCCCCTTGGAGGGGGGTGGGTTGAGTTTCCCTCTCTGCCCTGAGCAGAGTCCTGGCAGCTGAAGACCTCCGGGACCCAGCCACAGCCATGTTGAGACCACTCTCCACACGCTAGGATAGCCTCACGCATGAAGAAACTGGCAGAGGAACCCAGGTGTGTGGGGCTGAGATCTCCAAGCCTGCTCGGTTTGGGACTGGGCCTCCTGCACCCAGATCCCCCACCTTCCAGTAGCTAGACCGTTAACACCACCAACTGCCGTGTAACCCCATCAACAAGATCCAGAGACTATAAAACCAAGCTCCCAGAAGTGCGACCTCTTACTGTCTAGTTCTCACTCTCAGAGAAGCCAGCAGGCTACTGAGAGTATCCTGCCCGCATATATGCCTGACTGGGAACACCTGTAAAAGTGATTAGAGGCTGCCCCAAAAGCCTCCATCCCTCTTGGAGAGCCCAGCAAGCTACCGAGAGTATCCTGCCTGCATGGCAGAGCCTGACAAGCTACCCGAGGCGTACTCGATATGCCAAAAACAGTAACAATGATTGTCCTCATTCCCTTGACCCTGAAAGAGCCCCAGTATGCCATCGGGCTACACTAGTGCGTGACAGGGATGAAAGTAACAATGGAGACGTTACTGGTGCCTGCTCAAGCAAATTGATGAACAACGGGGTGATAGTGATCCTAGGCTTATCTTGGCTTGGACTGGGTGGGGGTCGGACTGGGTGGGGCTCAGACTGGGTGGGGTACACACCCTATGTGGTGCCCTGTAGCACTGCCCTCCCGTTCATCAATTTGCTTGAGCAGGCACCAGTAATGTCTCCATTGTGAGACTTGTTGCTGTTTTTGGCATATCGAATACCTCGTGGGGAGCTTGGCAGGCTTTGCCAGGCGGGATATTCTCAATAGTTTGCCGGGCTCTCTGAGAAGGGCGGAGGAATCGAACTGGGTGGGCTGCGTGGAAGACAACCGCTCTACCTGCTATGCTATGGCTCCAGCCCTACCCTGCCCTACCCTAACAAAATCTTTTATTACTTATTTTTGTGCCAAATCTGGCGGTGCCCAGGGTTTATTCCTGGCTCTGTGCTCAGGGATCACTCGTGGTGGGGCTCCGAGGACCTTGCCCTACCCACTGTACTGCACTCTGGCCCAGAACAGAATCTTAACACAATTTAGAGGGGAATACTCTAGAAGGAAGATCTAATAACACCAAGTATCTTTGCAACAATCAGAATCCAAATGTGTGTGACAATTTTTTTTTTCATTTTTGGATCACACCCAACAATGCTCAGGGGTTACTCCTTGCTTTGCACTCAGGAATTACCCCTGGCAGTGCTCAGGGGACCATATGGGATGCTGGGAATCGAACCCGGGTCAGCGGCGTGCAAGGCAATCGCCCTACCCGCTGTGCTATTGCTCCAGCTCCCCGATACAACTTTTAAGATCTGGCAAATCAGAAATATTTAAGATAAATTAAATTATTTAAGATAAAATTATTTAAGATCAGAAAATAAATCACCAGGAGCCAGTTCGTGATTACTACAGGATTTTAACCCGAGATTTCAGCGCAACGCCGGAGCCCGGGAGCAGGGAGGACGTCGGGCGCGGGGCGGGGGGTGGGGGGCGGCAGGGGGGCGCGGGTCCGCTCGGGGGCTTCTTTCGGGGGCGGGAAGCAACCGGGCCCGGCTCCACGTCAGTGTTCCGGATCAAATCAAATCTCGGCGCCACCCTATCGCGCCAACAGCACCTCAGCGCCCGGAGCGGACTTAGCGGACACAGTCACCGCGGCGATAACGGATCCCGCCGGCGCCGCAGCGCTGGGTCGCGCCGCAGCTTTCCGGCCCCCACGTCTGCGCACGCGCCGCCTCCTTTCCCGGGCGGCTCCGGGCGCTTTCTCACGCGGGATTTGACCCGCGGGACGCTCCGTAGTCGGGGGCGGGGCCCAAATTCGGGTCAAAGGGCGTGTGGGTGCGGTGAGGCCGTGAGGCGGGCTGGGCGCTGTCGCGGCTGCCTGGGTCGAGTCTCCCGCGAGGCTGGAGGCCGTTAGCCCGGGCTGGGCGGCGGTCAGGCTCTGGTCAGGCGGCCGGGCGGCCAGGCGGGATGCCTCGCTACGCGCAGCTGGTCATGGGCCCCGCCGGCAGCGGGAAGGTGAGGGTTCGGCAGGAGACGGGAGAGTGCAGGTTGCGCTCGTGGTATGGCTGAAACTTAAGCCCGAAGTTTGTAGGTCTGTAGCTGTATCTCGCGGTGATCCCTTAAAAAGTAAAAAATTTACAAAAGCAAATGAAAAATGGGAAAATTGAACAAATTCACAACTTTAAAAATTCAGTTGAAAAGAAGAAAAGAAAATGGGAGTTGCTGGGGGGCCGGGCGGCCGGGAAGAGCAGAGGGTTTTTATTGCGCAATAACTTATTCCCTACCACCCTCATTTTTTAAAATTGTTATTATTATTTTTCTTTTTGGGTCACACCCGGTGATGCCCAGGGGTTCCTCCGGGCTCTGCACTCAGGAATTCCTCCTGGTGGTGCTCAGAGGACCATAGGGGATGCTGGGAATCGAACCGGTCCGGCCACTTGCAAGGCAAACGCCCTGCCCCCTGTCATATCGCTCCAACCCCCCATTTTTTTTTATTTTATAAAGTGTTTTAGAATATTTGATTACATTTAATATTCAGACTCCAATCCCACCACCATTACACCTTCTCACCACCATATTTCGGATAGTTCCATCCCAAACCCAATCCCTGTCCCAAAGCAGAACTGAAATAATCTATTCTGTTGTATTGTGATATGAAAAACCGCCAGGGCGCTGGACCAATAGCACAGTGGGTAGGACATTTGCCTTGCACGTGGTCGACCCGGGTTCGATTCCCAGCATCCCATATGGTCCCCTGAACACCATAAGCCAGCGGTAATTCCTGTGCATCGATAGTTATGACCCAAAAACCAAAAAAAAAAAAAAAATTGCAGAAAATGCTATAATAAAAAGTATCCTTAGAGGAAAGAGTGTGTATTCCACCCAGGGGCCAGCAGGCTTTTGAGATCTATAAGAAATCACTAACATGTTGTAAAAGGTTGAACCTTCTGTGTTTTATATATACATATATATAAATATGTATATATATTTCCCTCTAAGATTGGTTGCCTACTACTTTGAACCCCGTCAGATGTGGTACAGTAATTTTGGAGTATGAGCTCCTGCAATTTTTTGCTTTTGGGGTCACATCCAGTGGTGCTCAGGGCTAACTCCTGGCTCTGTGCTCAGGGATCACTCCTGGCAGGCTTCCAGTATGGTCCGGGGATGAAAGTGAGACAGCCTTGTGCGAGGGGAGTGTCCTGCCCTCTGGACTCTCCGTGTCCCCGCTCCAGGGCCCCTTTATTTCCACAGCCTTTGTTTTTGGGTCATACCTGGCACTGCACAGGGGTTACTCCTGGCTCTGCATTCAGGAATTACTCCTGGAGGTGCTCGGGGGACCATATGGGATGCTGGGAATCGAACCCGGGTCAGCTGAGTGCAAGGCAAATGCCTACCTGCTGTGCTACGCTCCAGAGAATCCAGAAAGGTTGAGCATGCAGGGCCTTGCACACACCGAATCTGCATTCGATCTCCAAACAATGTAGGCCCCTCCAAATACTGCTGGCTGTGGCCCCAAAATCAAGAGCGGGGGAGAAATCTTCCGTTTCAATCATACTTACTGCATCTCATAACAGTGAGGAGACCATCGACCATGGATAAGGACACTGACCAGGAAGTTGCCACTGGCCTGAGGTCAGTGTGCCCAAGGCAGGGCTGGATCTGCACTGCATGCAGTTCCCTGATGCCCAGTCCCGGGGATTAAGGCTTAGTTTGGGCCTCAGTAGACACTGACGAGGGGCTGTGGCGGTTCGTCTGGTGGTGTGGGGTCTGCCTGAAGCTCTGTCCCCTCCTGCCTCCCGGTCCACAGAGCACCTACTGTGCCACCATGGTCCAGCACTGTGAAGCCCTCGGCCGTTCTGTCCAGGTGGTGAACTTAGATCCCGCGGCGGAGCATTTCAACTATGATGTGATGGCTGGTGAGTCCCGGGCGCAGCCTTCCCTCTCCTTGGGGGCCCTGAGGCAGTGAGTGCTGCCCCCTGCTTCTGGGGAGGCACAGAAGCTGAAAACTTCGTTCAGACTGATCCCTGCTTTCATGGTAGACAGCAGAACATCATGTGTTAGCATCCACTTATTGATGTGCTTGTGACAGTTCCCTTTGTTTCCCTTAATAAAAAGTGAGATGTCACAGGCCTCGCTTTAAATTCTTAGGTCAGAGGGGATTGAACTCAAGTTGGCAGCATGCAAGGCAAGCGCCTTAAGTATAGTCTATCTGGCCCTTCTTTTTCCTGATGCTCGGGTGACTCCTGGCTCTGCACTCAGGAATAACTCCTGGTGGTGCTTGGGGAGACCATATGGATGCCGGGGATTGAACCCTGATCGAAAGTGTGCAAGGCGAATGCCCTATCCACTGTACTATCCCTCCCTGCCCTATCCCTTGCTTCACCTCTTTTATTTTATTTTATTTTATTTTGCTTTTTGGGTCACACTCAGCAATGCACAGGGGTTACTCCTGGTTCATGCACTCAGGAATTACTCCTGGATGTGCTCAGGGGACCATATGGGATGCTGGGAATTGAACCCGGGTTGGGCCGCGTGCATGGCAAACGGCCTACCCGCTGTGCTATCGCTCCAGCCTCACTTCACTTGTTTTAGAACAGATGTTTTATATGCACAGTATTGAGAATGCAAAAGGTACATGAGAGTGTGCAGGAAAAAGTCATTCCCAACTCTTGCTTCCTCTGAGGCCGAGAATATTTCCTAAGTCTGTAGTGTTATTCCTTAACATCTTTGCACAGAATTAAGTGTGGAGGCCAGGAAGACAGTAGAGGGGTTAGGAGCAAATAATTGGCACACACAGGATGCTGCTTTAATGCCCAGCACTGCAGGGCCCCCTGAGCACTGTTGTGTACCGTAATCCTGTAGCCCCTAAGGCCCTCCAGGTGATCATCTCATTTTGGGGCGCTGGCCTTTGCACTCTGGCCCCTGGGCCTCCTGAACACTGCCTGGGAGGCCAAAGGGGGAGAAAAATCAGAGGCCAGGTGCTAACTTAGAGGGATGTAGTGCATGTTTCAGGATGCCCCTGACCACCAGCTGTGGTTCCAAAACCGAAGGAAGAAAGAGATCAAAATATGGTACAAGAATTGAAGCTTTTGGTTTAACTGTTGGGGGTCGCTACTGGCTCTGCTCCTGCAGGGCTTACGTGGGGGTGGAATTTGAACTGGGCCTAAATCCTTCTTGTCTCTTTGGCCTTTTATTTTGTATTGGGGCTGCATCTGGTGGTGCTCAGAGTTTGCTGCTGATACTGCTGTCACTCCAGGGTGTGTGCCCTGCCCTTATCATTTATAAGTACAACTACTAGCCTTCTAAGAGTACTGCCCCTTGTGTTTCTGGTTTAAGTCTACCTGGGAGACTGTAATGCATCATTACTTGAGAGTGGGATTCCCTAGATTACTGTAATTTATTTGTTTTATTTTTTTTTCTTTACTTGATGGGTGGGGTGAGGTTAGGGCCACACCCCGCTGAGTTCAGCACTTCTGGCTCTGTGCTCCTGGATCACTCCTGGTGAAGCTGAGGAACTATATGAGGTGCCAAGGATTGAACGTGGGTTGTCCACATGCAAGGCAAGCGCCTTACCCACTGTTCTATTCCTTTTGCCCCTGGTTAGGTACTTTTTTTTTTTCTTTCTAGCCCCTGTTCAGTTTCTGTGGATACTGTCACAGTTGTAATAATTACTAGTGAATGTAAATATTTTGGAATGGGCACTCATTTCCTGTTTATTCTTTGCAGACATCCGCGAACTGATCGAGGTGGATGATGTGATGGAGGACAGTTCCCTGCGCTTCGGTCCCAATGGAGGACTGGTGTTTTGCATGGAGTACTTCGCCAATAATTTTGACTGGCTGGAGAACTGCCTTGGCCATGTCGAGGATGACTACATCCTTTTTGACTGTCCAGGTAGCTCAGTAATTAGATTGTCACCTTCCCTGGGTTGGGCAGTTCTGTCCTTGGTGGGAGAAAGTGAAATTAGCATCTCATTTACTTTTATCCCAGATTCTTGGACAGTGGACTGTCATTCAATGAGGGGCTGTGGAATGTCTGTTTGTTTTCTTCTGTTTGGGGGCCTCATCCAGAGGTGCTAGAGGCTGGGTTTGTTCCTAACTGTTATCAGGAGGTTGCTCCCAGCCCTGCTTAGGGGAGCATAGTGTGCTGGGAACTGAGCTCAGTCTTTCTGTGTGCAGAGCATATGCTCAGCCTGTTGTTTCTTGGGCCCCAGGTCACGCAGCTTTTAAAAGGTTTGTTTTAGAGCTGGAGAGACAGAATGATGGGTAGGATGCTGCGGCTGACACCGGTTCAGTCCCTGGCACCATATATGGTCCTGTGAGTACTACATTTTATGGAGCAAAACCAAGTTTTGTTTTTCTTTATAGAGCCATAGTATGGCAGCTAAAGCCCTTGCCTTACATTCTGCCAGCCCAAGTTTGGATCCCTGGTACCACATACGATCCCCCAAGCACTGCCAGGAGTGATTTTTTAGTACAGAGTCAGGAGCCTCCCCGAATACCAGTGTGTGTGGCCCAAACCTCCTCCCCCCAGAATAACACAATAAAAATTTTTTTAAAAATCATTTTTAATAACTTTAGTATATTTTCTTTGTATGCCTCTTTTACATACATGTGCACCCAGAGTTGCTTAAAAAATTCCGCGGGGGGCCGGGGGAGCTGGTGTGATAATACAATGGGATTGGCGTTTGCCTTGCATGCGGCTGACACGGAACCCCACCATATCATATGGTCCCCCGAGCACTGCCAGGAGCAATTTGTGAGTGCAGAGCCAGGAGTAAACCCTGCGCATCACCAGGTGTGACCCAAAATGAAAAAAAAATATTGGTGGAGCCAGAGAGATACTACAGTGGGTAGGGCACTTGCCTTGCACACAGCTAAGGTGATCCCTGCTACCGTATATGGTTCCTGGAGCCTGCCAAGAGTCATCCCTGAGCACAGAGCCAGGAATAAGCCCTGAGCACTATCAGGTAGTCCCCAAAACAAAAAACAAACAAAAATTGAATATAGTATAGGGCTAGAGAGATAGTGGGCTGGGGACATGCTTTACATGTAGTAGGCTTTGCATGTAGGACTCTGAGTAGCCTCGAGCCCTCCCAGCAGTTTCGGAGAGACCCTCAAGCATCCCCACGTGCGGCTTAAAACAAGCAAAATGGAATATATTACTTGTAGGGATTAACTTGCTTTAAAAAAATTTGGGGGGGACCGCGGGTGCCATATCTGATGAAGCTCAGGGGTTACTCCTAGCCTCGTGCTCAGGAATTACTCCTGGCTGTGCTCAAGGGACCCTATGGGATCGAACCCAGGCTGGTTGTGTGCAAGGCAAGTTCCCACCCTCTATACTATCTCTCAAGCCCCCTAAGACAGTTTATGGGAAAAGTTATTATCCCATAATAGATGGTTGAATGTATTTCATGTTTATAATAAGCTTGTGTTCTTGTAGGTCAGATCGAGTTGTACACACACCTGCCCGTGATGAAACAGCTGGTTCAGCAGCTGGAACAGTGGGAGTTCCGAGTCTGTGGAGTGTTTCTTGTTGATTCTCAATTCATGGTGGAGTCGTTCAAGGTTTGAAACTATACCTGTCCTTGATTTTTCAGTCTCCGGCACAAACAGAGTACAAATACCTTTAGTTATAATCGTTTAATTCTTAACAGTTTATGAACTATACCCAGGAGTTATTTAGAACTTATGTTTGTTAAATTAATATTTCACGAAGATGACTCCAGTGGCAGAGCACAGAGCTGGCATGTTAGAGGCCACGTTTGCCCCTTGTGCACTGTTCAGTGTAGTTCTCGTGGTCCCCAACTCTCAGCTGTCGCCTTCAGGAGTCGTGCCAGGGCGGTGTCAGAAGTAAGTCCCAAGCACCACTGTGTGTGGCTTCATAACTGGAAAAAAAAAAGCTGGAGGCTGAAGAGATAGTACAGTGGGCAGAAATCTTGCCTTGCATGTGACCAGCCTGGGTGTCATCCCTGCCATACTGCCACCGGGCCCCCTGAGCCCCTCCAGGAGTGATCCTTGACCACAAAGCGAGGAGCCCTTCTGGGTATTCCCCAAAACTGAAAGGGAGGGCGTTTGGTTCCGTCTCCAGCACCCATATGGTTCCCAAAGCTGGTCAGGAGTAACTCCTTAGTGCAGAAGCCGAAGTGACCCACTAGTTATATCAGGGGATTGTGTGACCCAGAAACCCAAAAGGAAATACCCATCAGGGGAGGTGGAGAGCATGAGAGAAGATAATGTTGAAGGTCAGAAATAGAACAGGGCTTCCGAAAATTTTAAAAATGGAGCTGGAGTGATAGTACAGTGGGTAGGGCCTTGCATACAGCCAATCCGGGTTTGATTCCTAGCATCGCTGAGCACCACTAAGAGTAATTCCTGACTGAAGAGCCGGAGTAAACCCTGTGCATTGCCAGGTATTACCCGCCCCCCCAAAAAATAGTACAGGGCTTAAGGTGCTCGCCTTGATGTGGCCCACCTGCTTTTAATCCCTGTCACTATATGTTTCCTCAGTGCTGAACTCAACCCCAGCTAACTCCTGAATACTTTAAAATATTGTTGAGTGGAGAAGTGTGGTCACTATAGATCGCATTTCTCCTTCCCATCTCACCTTTAGAATCCTAAGGTCAGCTATTGGCCCAGCAGTCTTCTGTTAGGTCCAGCCTGGCAGTGCTCAGGGCTCACTACTGGCGCTGTGCTGAGGAATCACTTAGGTAGTGCTCTGGGAACCCTGTGGAGTGCTGGGCTAGAACCTGTGCTGACCAGGCGCAAGGCAAGCGCCTTAAAGCCTGGACTCTTGCTCGGGCCCCAATCTTAGCGTTTCTCCTATTTAGGTGGGTTTTGTTCCAGTGGGGATCAGAAACCTTTTATGTGGACTCTGTTGGTGACAACTGATTCATCGTCCCTTTTCTGCTTCCTCTTTCAGTTTATTTCTGGCATCTTGGCAGCCTTGAGTGCTATGGTATCTCTAGAAATCCCGCAAGTTAACATCATGACAAAAATGGACCTGCTGAGTAAAAGAGCTAAAAAGGAAATTGAGAAGTAAGTTCACTATAATGAAGGTCTCATTTGCAGTGCTGAACCTTTTTCGTTTCACTTCGATTGTCAGTCTACAAAATTAGTGTTTGAGATTCTTTCCTTCACCAGTCTCTCATTTTTAAAGGTTTCTAGATCCAGACATGTATTCTTTATTAGATGATTCTACAAGCAACTTCAGAAGCAAAAAATTCAAAAAATTGACTAACGCCATATGTGGGCTGGTAAGACTTTGTATTTTTCTAATTTTTGGTGGGGGGGTGGGTGGGTCATCTATGCTGGGGGTTCTAGGGGCCGCTCTGATTATTGGCCCACCAGGCTAGTAGTGGTCAGTGCAGGGGTCCAGAGGGCCGTATCAGCAGTATTGGTTGCTTCCTGGCTGTACCCAGCAATGCTCAGGATGCCATCTGGTGCCAAGAATCAAGCCCTGTGCTAATCCCTGGGCTGATGAGTTTTGCAAGTGTTTGGGGTTGTTGTGGGAAGTTTTTAAGGTTTGGGAGCCACTCCCGGTGGTGCTCAGGGGCTGAGGCAAGCGCCCACCTCAGTGTACTAGCTCTCCCGTCCCACAGCAGAGAAATTCTGCAATGTCTTTTTTTCCTGGCCACTTGGCACATCAGAATTGCCTGTACCCTTTTGAAATTTTCAGTGGTGGTTGAATGCAGATAAATTACTATAAAAGAAGTCCCAGTCTCTGGTCGGGGCAGGAGCGATAACACAGCAGGTAGGGTGTTTGTGTTGCATGCGTTCGACCCGGGTTTGATTCCTAACATCCCATAGGTCCCCTGAGCACCACCAGAAGTTATTCCTGAGTGCATGAACCAGGAGTAACCGCTGTGCATCACCATGTATAACCCAAAAATTAAAAAAAAGTCTTTAAGCAATGTTGTAATGTTACTAGTGTTCCAATAGGTCAGAGGACATAAAAAATTAATGCTGATTTGCTGTTTTTCTGTCTGCTCCTCCCTGCACAGGCATAGTTGGTTTTAATTAGACTACCAATGTTCACACTCAAGCGTCAGTTGAATGACCTTTCTGAAATCTCTAATTTGTAGATTGATGACTACAGTATGGTCCGATTTTTGCCTTATGATCAGTCAGATGAAGAAAGCATGAACATTGTATTACAGCATATTGATTTTGCCATTCAGTACGGAGAAGACTTGGAATTCAAGGAACCCAAGGTAATTTCTGACGATTTAGATTTGCCAGGGCCCGAGAACGGCGCAGAGGGAAAGACCATTCTCTGCCTCCCCTAGGCTGACGCTGGGTCATTCCCCGTTTCATGTCTGGTCCCCGAGCACAGAGCCTGGATTGCCCTGAACACCTCTGCCCTCCTGTTTGATCTCAGCAGCTCCTTAAGTTAAAGTCTCAGGGGCAGCAAGAACCTGGCCCGTTCTGGCTGATCTCTGTGTGTGGCTCAAGAACTCAAAACCAAAAAAAAAAAATTAATAAATAAAAAGAGTAACCATAACCCTGGTTGTGGATTAGGTGGCTTTTGTGCTCCAGAACCTAATGGTGTTTTGGGCCCCCTGTTCAGGGTGGTGCCCCACCCCCTGTGCTGTCTCGTTCGCCCCAATTTTGTTCATGTATATCTATTAGCACTACTACTGGGTATTATAGAGCATTGCCTGAACAGTAGGTAAATACATACTGGATCTGCGGAGAAATCAACGTATTTTCTATTTTGTGTTTTATTTATATCAGGAACATGAAGATGAATCGTCTTCTATGTTGGATGAATATTTTCAAGAATGCCAGAACAAATGAAGAGTATGTTATGATGCAACTGGATGTGGGGCTGGAGTGATAGCACAGTGGGTAGGGCATTTACCTTGCACGCGGCAGACCTGGGTTCGATTCCCAGCATCCCATATGGTCCACCAAGCACCGCCAGGAGTAATTCCTGAGTGAGGAGCCAGGAGTAACACCTGTGCTCTCCGGGTGTGACCCAAAAACCAAAAAAAGAAAAAAAAATGCAACTGGATGCTTGTGAAGAGTAGCAATCACAATTTATTTAAATGAAAATATAACAGATAAAGTAAAAACAAAGAATAAAAATCATAAAATATACCGAGGCAAGATACTCATTGGTGGGAGGGTCTCCAGACAGAGACACTGATGTGAGACCCTGGGCTTCTTTCAGTTGTAGACATGCTAGGTCCTCTGGGAACTTGTCCAATGTTGCCACAGCGGGTGGCCGTGCAGCTGGTACTCGAGAGATCAGTGTTGGTGCTGACCTTGGACACGGAGCCAAGTATGCTTTCAGAGCAGGAGCTAAAGAATCAATAAGAGAAAAGGTCACCCAGAGGGCTCCTTCCATGGATTCTCCAAAGCTGACCCCAACAGGGAGCCCAGCAGGAAGGGGAGACCATGGGCCCACCTCACGGGGGTTTCCTGTGGAGGCCTCCCCGGAATGGGCTCTCCGGCCTGTGACTCTCCTTTCCCACACCAGCCCCCAGGACACCTCTAGGTGGGCCTTTTCGCATTCCCATTTTTCTTGTGCATATACACACACCCCTTGGTTCTTACCCGTTTTCTTCTGGTGCTCTGTGTCTCGTTCTTTGCCATATGTGTAAGGCCATGGCATTGAAGGCGGTGCCCTTTGGGGAGTTGACACTCCTTGGCCAGTCTCAACTTTCTGCTTAGACGGTATCTTGCTCTGCTTGGTGCTGGCTGATTCCAGACTCTCTTCAGAGGAACTGGACCCAGAGGATATGTAGAAGATCTTCTTTCTCTCCTGTGGGCTGCTCTGCGGAGGGAGCGTCTCTCTCTCCTGTGGGCTGCTCTGTGGAGGGAGAACCACAAAGGCTCAGCTCCAGAAGCGCTGCTTCCCCTCCCTTCTGAGTTCCTCCATGCTGGTGGACCTGCATCTACACAGGCCTCCCATAGGAATGAGATTGAAACAATCAAGTTTAGAAAAGTCTTGGCCAAAGAGCACCTCCTAGTGCCAACTCAGTGAGCAGTGACCTGGCCTTGGGGGCTAGATTTGATGACTCAACTGGTAGGAGCAGGCTGCCCTCAAGATGATCTCACAACACACATACAGACACACGTACATACACAAATGCACATACTCACACACACACACCATCTCCAGTACACACTCAAATTTACTCTCTCCGATAAACACGTTCACACACGGGTGTGCACACTCTTCCACACACACAGCGTCTGCGCCATCACTCTCAGGGAGGTGATGAAGACTGATCACGGTCATCAGTGCTGGGCTGCCCGGGCCAGTTCCTGCTGACCTGAACTAGCGGCTGTCTTCGTGAAGAATTCCGGGGAGTTCTACAGTGAGTCCTCACCCAGTTTCTGAATCTTTTCAGTGTCCTACACTTGGGGGTTTTACAACCACGATTTCTTGGTAAGCAGCAAAACATGTTTGCTGTCTATGCGTTTCCGCAGTGAACCAAGTAATGAGTATGGGGGCAGTTGGGGCGGCTGCAGAATGTCTGGTTGCATCACAAAGAGAGGTCGGTGATGTCATCGAGCCCATCACAGTGAGGACAGGTCAGCTGTGGCCCTGCAGCAGGGCTTGCTCTCTGTGCAGCCCCCTCTGGGCTGCTGCTTCTCTCCCTCTTCCCACAAGTCCTGTCCACGTGGTGAACTCAAGGCCCTCGGGAGAGCAGGGAGCAGCCACTTGAAAGAATGTGCTGGTAAAAAGTTATTTTCCTTTTATTATTTTTTTTAAAGTAGGAGTACTGCTATTTATTCGGCCACTGATTAGGTGATTGAATTGGGCATGAACTCCACCTTACTCTTTTTTTTTTCATTTTTTATAATTTTATTTATTGAATCACCGTGAGAGCAGTTACAAAGCTTTCGGGTCTAAGTCTCAGTCATACAATGAAACACCCGTACCTTTACCAGTGACCATTCTTCACCACTATATCCCCAATATACCCCCATCCCACACCCTCCCTCTACCTGTGGGGCAGATGATTTCCACATTACTCTCTCTCTACTTTGATCACATTCAATATTTTGACACCAGACCCACCATTATTTGAGATTTTACCCCAACACTCAGATCTGCTGAAAAGGCAACAGTAGACAATTTGTGTTCTATTGCTGGTTTTGGATAACATGTTGCATGGCTGCTGTAGTGGCCGCGTGATTTTGAAATTTCCAAAATTTAACACTTAAATTGCGGGATTTCTTCTAAAACCTGCTGGGTTCCGAGATTTGCTCCTGAGTCTCTGGGATCATGGCCGTTAAGCAGCTTGATCAGGAGCCAGAGAGGCCGGTCGTGGTTGATGACTTGGGGTCTCGTTGGGGTGGGGAATACAGGCCAGGCTCCCCCTCCATCTCGCGAGGCACAACAAATTTTTTCACTGTGGGCCCAAGCCTGACTGTTCAGTGGCCTTTGGAGGATGATGGCCACCGAGCCGCCAAGAGGGAGCAGGCGGAATGGGAACACCCTTTCCTCCCTGGGGTGTTCTGGTGACAGTAATGTACTGTGGGGTCCGGCCGCACTTCTGCCAAATGCCACTGGGTATCAAGGTTTGTTGCTGAGTCTCTGGGATCATGGCCGTTAAGCAGCTTGTTTAGGATCCAGAGAGGTTGTTCGTGGGCGATAACTTGGGGTCTCGTTGGGGTGGGGACAACAGGCCCGGCTCTCCCCCCATCACCCAATGCCCTGCATGTCTCGTGACTGGGGGCCCAAACCTGACTGTCCAGTGGCCTCTGAAGCATGGTGGCCACAGGGCCGCCGGGGGGAACAGGCCAAGGCACGAAACCAATTCCCACCTGGATTGGCCCAGCACTGGTAACGTACTGCAGGGACCAGACGCATTTTTTCCAAAAGCCCCTGCGTTTCGAGATTTGTTCCTGAGTCTCTGGGATAATGGCCATTAAGCAGTTCAATCAGGAACCAGAGAGGCCATGCCTCCAATATTATAGCTGAGCTGGAGGTGTTTTGTGGGTGTGTTTTCCACATACCTAACTTTTGGCCATTTACTTTCTTGTTAAACTTTGCCCCAAGTTTTTGGAGTCTGGCCAGAAGCACAGCAGCAATTATTATTATTTTTTTTATTAGTGAGACATCATGCGGTACAGTTGCAGACTTACAAATTTTTGTGCTTGGATTTCAATTTTAAAGTGATCAAATACCCATCTCTCCACCAGTGCCCATTTCCTACCACCACGGATCCCAGTATCCCTCCCACCCCCCATTCCCCTCCTTCCACCTTGCCACTGTAGCAGGGCATCCTCTTTTGTTCTCTCTCTCTTATTCAGTGTTGTGGTTTGCAAAAGAGACATTGGGTGCCAATCATGTTTGGTCTATAGTATACTTACAGCATGTTTCTCCCATCCTGGGAGAATCCTCCCAACACCTTTATTTGGTGTTCCCTTCTCTATCTGAGCTCCCTTTTCCTCTAGCATGTGTGGTGACCTCCAAGCCATGAGTCAGATTCCTGGTACTAATCTCAGCCATTCTTGGGTGTTCGTCTCCTTTTTTTTACTTTATGTTACCCAGATGAATGCAATCTTTCTATGTCTATCCCTTTCTTTCTGAGTTATTTCCCTTAACATGACATTTTCCATGTAGTACCACTTGTATGGAAATTTCATGACCGGTTTTTCTAACAGGTACACAGTACTCCATTCTGTAAATGTGACAGAGTTTCTTTAACCAGTCATCTGTTCTCGGGCACACAGGTTTTTTCCAGATTCTGGCTATTGTAAAGAGTGACACAGCAGCAATTTTGGGGTATCTGGAAGTGTGAAGGCGCCATGAGGCTGCTGATGCACTCGCCTCACAGGTACAGATTGACCTGCTGGCTTCACCATACTCCTGTCCTTTTTTTTTTTAAATGCAGCAAAAAAAGATTATTGTAAGAAATTTGGAGATTGGATGTGAAGGGAGAGAAAGTGAAGAAAATGGGTTCATGAGCAAACATGGGCTTCTCCAAAGTAGAAAAAAAGTTGGAAGAGAAATACTTGTTCTAGGGAGAACATGGGCTTCTCCAGAGTGAAAAAATCTGAAGGCTCGAAAGTGAAAAAATGTGAGTTTGTTTTCATGGAAAAAAAAAATCCCAAGCAATAATGAGTCTGTTATCAGCAGCATGCCTGAATCTGATGTTGAGTTATTTTGGAATTGCTGCTGCTGCTTAAAGCAATCTTTAATAGCATCAGGGCTGCAGACTTAATATAAAGGATGGTGTGTCCTTTGAGTGCAAGATGCCCAGGTCCATTCTTGGCACCACACGTTCTGTACAATCCGTCAGGAGTGACTTCCAAGACCAGAGATGGAAGTCACCTTGTACACCCCAGGTACCACCCTGTGTGATCCCAAATCCCTCCTTTCCCTCAAAGTAAAATAATATGAATAGCACCAAGTACGATTGTGAGAATTGAGGAGGCATAGAACTAGTACTGCATGTTGGGTGCTTGCCTTGCATGCATCCAGCTTGGGTTCCTTCCCCATTACTGCGTGTGGTCCCAGGAGCCCCTGAGGGTGATTGAGAGTGATCTCTGGCACAGCTAGGCACAGCTAGGTGTACTCCTCCCAAAAAAGATTTTGAAGGTGAAATTGCAATGAATGTAAATAATTTTGTATATAAGAAAGTAGCAATGATGGTCACAGCTGTTGTTGGATAATTTTTATTGATTTTGGGGAGCAAAAGTTATTGTAACATACAATTTTTTTTCAAAGGAAAAATACCTGGGAAAATTAAGTAAGATCATTATCTTACCTTTATCTTTTAGTTTTCCTACACTGAATATTATTTGTACAATTAAAAGACTAAAAATCACTTGATCGCTTGATCACTTGATACCCCATTACTCATCGATTTACTCGAACGGGTGCAAGTAACGTTTCCATTCATCCCTGTTGCGTGCTAGCGTAGCCCAACGGCATGTGCTCGTTCTAGGAATATGCAGAGCCTCATACGGATCATTCAGGGTCTTTTTTGTTTGTTTGTTTTATTAGTGAAACAACTTGAGGTACAGTTGTAGACTTACAAGTTATAGTGCTTGGGTTTCAGTTATACAATGATTGAGTACCCATCC